TTGTTCAGCTTCACCCTGTAAACCCAGCCCCTGTTTGAATGGAGCAAGGTGTGTAAGGGGGCGTAAAAGAGGCAGCTTCCGGTGTGTGTGTCCTGACGGCTACACTGGAAAGTTCTGCCAAGTTGGTAACGTGGCCTTCTGGCGTACTCAGTCCACTACAACTGCAACTGGCACAATAGTTTGATTCTGAGTTATAAAAAAGTTACATTTCTCCTTTCCTTTCTTCATACCTTTATTTCTGATGTGCTATTGATGAATGTGTGTTGCCTCAGATCCTGATGACTGTTATGAGGGAGATGGAGAATCATACAGAGGCTTTGTAAGTGAAACGATGAGTGAACTGGAGTGTTTGCCCTGGAATTCTCACCTCCTACCATACAGTGAATTTGATGAAGATGATGGAACTGGACCGCATAACTACTGCAGGTCAGAAGTGTATGCTTGTGGCACTCTTATAAAAGTTAGGCTGAGATAAATTTGTGAAAGGAGTAAACATTCTGTGTTGGCATTTTTAAGAAAACTCTACTTTTTGCCAAAGTAACTTTCTATGAAATTACTGAAACTTAATAAAATTCTCTCAACTTGACTGTCAGTCCTACAAAACTCGGTTTTAGTTTAAATAGAAAACATTGCAAAACATTATAATTAATGTGTATCCTATGAACTTCGTTGTTTTTTGGAAATATATACTATTATATTATATTTATATTATATTTATATTTATACTATTATATATATTTATATAATATATTTCATATTTGATGCCGGTAACATGTTCCCAATAAGTTGCAACAGGAGCGGACTGTTTACCACTGTCTTACATCACCTTTCCTTTTAACAGCACTTAAAAATCATTTGGGGACTGAAGACACTAATTAATCCAACTTCAAAAGAGGAATTTTTTGCCATTCTTCCATTATGCAAGTCTTCAGCTGCACAATGGGGCCTGACTATGCAGTCATGCTCTTGTAATTTGTGCAGAATGTTGCTTGATGTTGAAATAAGAATGGACATCCCTGAAAAAGATGCCATTAAAGGCATGTGCTGCTCCACAATTTGAATATCATTCAGCATTAATGGTGCTTTCACAGATATGCAAGTCACCCATGCCATGATCACTAATATACCCCCATACCGTGACTGACCCCGGCTTTTCAACTTTATGCTGGTAACAATCATGATGGCCTTTTACTTCTTTGGACTGGAGAACACAATGTCCATAACTTTCTGGTGGCATTGTGTGATTTACAGACTTATTACAGTCTCATGATTGGTTTTCTGAGCATGAAGTTTTAGGTTCACAAGCACTTTCTTGACCTTACATCAGCAAGCAGCATACTTAACTTGAAACTTTTAGCATAAGGAAGTAAGAAAATCACCAAATTAGAACTGTGTACATCCTGAACATTTCCTTCATTCAGGAACCCAGATGGGGAGAGCCAGCCCTGGTGCTTCGTCAGATACCAAGGCAAACTGCGATGGGATGACTGTGCAGTTAGACGCTGCCCTGAACCAGGTACCCCACACCCACTGACCCACCTGACTCTCTCACTTCACAGACGCTTTGCCTTATTTTAACAACAGTTTCTACTAAACTCTACTAAAAGCTTCAACAACTGAACCAACAACTACTGAAGAGCCACCTACTGAACTTACTGAAATGGTCACCACGGTCCCTCCAAAGAAGGACTTCTCTGAGTGTGGGATGACCCAGCCTGCCAGGGCTCTGGGTAGGATCTTTGGTGGAAGGAAAGCTCTACCTGGAGCTCATCCCTGGCAAGTCTCTTTGCAGGTCCGCCGCAAACGCACTTCTGACCCCTTCCGTCACATTTGTGGGGGAATCCTCATCGACTCCTGCTGGGTTCTCACTGCTGCTCACTGCATGTAAGTGTGGCCTCTGGAGGGCAGTGTTGCTACACAGTACTTGTAGTGATATTGGGGCTACAGTCAACTAAAAATAGACACAGTAGTTCAACAATAGAACACTGGTTTGGTATAGCATTTCCTTATGTAAGCATTAAGTATGATGCACAGACATTAATTCATTATTCTTCATTCTTTGCATTTTGAATAAATGCAATAAAACAGTAAGCCTTGATAGGTCGTGTGTGGAGCAGAGTATTTAATGATAATGATAAAATATGCCAGTGCTTAGTAAGTCATTTAATTTGATAATCATAATCGATAATTACTGCTTAGGAACCGTCTGTTCTAACTAATTTGATTTGAGGTAGTAAATTAGTGAATCACTGCTTAGCAAACTTTCTTGCAGGTTTATTCTAAGAGGTTTTGAGAATTTCTTCTTTCATTTGACAGAGGAAGTAGTTCTTAGAGACAGTTGCTAAAAAGTGATTGCTTGAGTGTTGTGTTTTTTTTTAATTCATTTGATTTATATGGAGGCAAAGGGTCACTGTAGACAAAGAAATTTACAGTTATTTACTAGCTGCAAAGTTGCCAGTAATGTACTGTAAATTCGCAGTAAATGATTATAAATGCTTTTTTTATTTTATTGTACTGTAAATATGCTCCACAGTTATTTACCATAAATATACAGGACTTTTCTGGCAACTCCGCAGATTACTGTGAATTTTATGATTTTTTACAGTGTATGGTAGTTCATTCGTTTCAGGCCAAGGAGAAAAATGTAATTAATATCTTGAAAATAATTAATATTTTTTTCAAAATATTCACTTGATATAATAAAATAATATTTTTTTTCTTGAAATATTAACTTAATATCTTAAAGTAATTCATTATTTTCTCAAAATGTTGACTTACTATGTCAGTATTGTTTCATAATATTATCACTATTTTAAAATGACAACTTAATAACTTAGTACCTCATAATAATGAATTATGCCAAAATAATTACTTACTTTGTGATTTGTCACTTGCCATGTGAAAAACACTTTATTCTGCAAATAGCCAACTCTGCATTAATTCTGTACAAACTTATTAAAAACCACTGTGCTGTTCATGGAATAATCATTGACCATTATGTTGCTTGGCCACCATATTGTTGTGTTAATAATGGCGAGTCAATCAGAAACTTTTGTAATGCTGAATTACAGTGTTTGTTACCTGTGTGCATTCACTTAACAGCCAAAGGATAAATGAGATGCAGGTTGTTCTGGGTGGAGTGAACCTGGAGAAACATGAGGCTGCAGACCAGACAGTGGAGGTGGAAGATTACATCGTTCATGAGAACTACACAGAGACACTTGATGCCCTCTACAATGACATAGGTCATCCACTAACACACTCTCTACTGAACCATCCAGTGTAAAAAGAGATTAATTGAAATGACTTGATTCAAATGTGTACATATTTTCCACATAAATGTAAACAATATATTCATATGTTATTATAAAACACAATTAAAACATGAACATAGACACAACTAGCTTCTGCCTACCATAGATACACTGGTTTGACTTGAATGTTGATGACCATCTTATTGTTTTATCCAATCTCAGCCCTACTCAAACTGAAGGCAGTAGATGGACAGTGTGCCAATGAGACCAGGTTCATTAAGGCTGCCTGTCTGCCCACTGGTCCAATCCCTGATGGGACGGAGTGTATGATATCAGGCTATGGAGTCACAGAGCATGGTGTGGCCATCTTCCTCACTTCTTATAACATGTGCTGCCCCTTTTTTATTATTTGGTCTCTGTTAGCTATTATATAAGTCTGACATACCTATGATGTATACATTCTTTGTCTGTGCAGATGAAGAAGGTTCCAGTCAGCTGTTGGATGCAAAAGTTCTCCTGATCTCCCAGAAACGTTGCATGGCTCCTACTGTCTATGGGAACGTGCTGGATGATGGCATGTTCTGTGCTGGACACATGCAAGGAGGAGTGGACTCCTGTCAGGTGGGTGTCTATTATTGCAATGAATGACTAAAAAAGGATTAGAATACTGATTTAATCTACTAAAGTTAAAGTGATATTTTAGCGAACAGTTTTACAGTTTCCCCCTCCCTTATTCTAAATGAACAGTCAAAACATGTTTGGTTTCTGAAGTTTACTTCTTTGGGTTTGCACTAGAGCTACAAGGCTAATGTAGCTAACAAGTAATGGATGCCTATACAGCACCAAGCATTACTCCACAAAGCTAAATCATCACGCACTTACCTCAAATCATGTCAACTTTATAGGAAGACTTATAGACTTGCTTGTGTGATTTCTGATGCTGTACAACATACTGTTATAAGAACAAAAGGGACACTTCTCATTAATGCCCATGGTTTTGGAATGGGATGATAATGTGTCCACATACTTTTGGCCATATGTGTACCCACCTAGAAGCCTGAATTTTGTCTGTAGTTTTGTGTAAAATTAAATAAGCTTCAGACACCAAACATGTCTTGGATAATCTACTACATTTGGGTTAGAGAAAAATTGCGTATCACTTTAAAGTGTGAATGTGATAAAATAGGCATAGATATTTGTTTCTGCAGTTGTTTTACTGGCACCTTCTCTTTATAGGGAGACTCTGGGGGTCCTCTGGTCTGTAAGCAGAACGGCATGCATTATGTCTATGGAGTGGTGAGCTGGGGTGACGCTTGTGGCAAGAAGAATAGACCCGGCATTTACGCTCGTGTCACCCATTACCTCGGCTGGATCAAAGAAAAGATGCGCTCCTAGTAAAATGGAGTTACAGGGAGATAGTATGAACATATCTGTGATTGACTGAAACAGTAATAGTGACATGAGTCATGAGTCACTGTGCAGCTTCAAAACCTTTATTTCTGGATCTCATGGTCTTACTTTACTATCTTTGAGCTGTTTTCTAATGGCATACTCACAAAGCTGAACCTGTCAGGCAAACTGTATATCAAATATATCTTAATTAATTATAACTCTTCTGCCTACGGCAGTCTAAGAACTTAGCTGTCCACCAGTGACTCCACAAAGCAGTCATACATTTGATTTTCATTATTACAAACTGAGACTGTTAAATAAAGTTTTCTTGCTATTTCAAAATAGTTTTTTTTCCTTACATGAAGCAATAGGCTTCAACTGTCAGTGAATAAAAAGAAAGGCACTTGTCTTTTCACTACATGAATACTAAACAAGTCCACCCTTTTTCACATGCATGATACACACTCCAAAACTTCCTTTTCTATTCACAATTTATATCTTCCTCATATAACCATAAATGTCACCTACAAACTGAACATTTCCATTCTGCCTTTTTCTCTTTTCTCCATCATTGTCACATACAGAGTTCATTCATTCATTTTCACATAGATATCCTTCAATCTTTGCTCACTAAATATTGGTAAAGAACACCAGGCTCTACATGGCAGGCTTATAGAAAAATAGCTTTAGCTTACATTGTAATAGACTTATTTTCAGTTGACCTGTCTGTAATTGACCTGTTTTCATGGAGCTCGCTCACTGCAGACTGGTTTGTTGAAGAGTGAGATGTTATAGACTGCGATGTCATGGACTTAGCAGTCTTCGCTTGTTTGAAAGTAGTGTGGATGGTCTTCTTCCGTTTTACATGGAGGATCTCCATGGCATCTGGATTGACCACAGACTGCTGGACATGCTCTCTTGTCTCCACCTGCTCTGAAGAGTCCTGCTGCTGCTGCTCCAGCAACTGCTGCTCACGCTGGAGCATCTGGAAGAAAAGAGAAATGAAGGAAAAAAGATGTCACAGAGAGACGGCAAGAAAAGTTTGAATAATAAGTAAATAATAATAAGTTTGAGAATAATTTCATTGATTTTTACATAGATTCTTTTCAAATTCTAGTTGTAGTTTCTAAGTTATTATAAGCAGTTTCTCTTCTCACCATCAGTTGCTGGTACTTGGCTATGGCTTCATCAGTGCTCACTCCCTCTGCAAGTCCAAGCTCTGCTGCCCTCCTGGCCATCTCTGCCTTATGAGAGCCTGGAGGGGTCCAACCAATTCCCTTTATCCAGTTCAAGTCTGACTTATATTTCACCTGCAACCAGACATTCATAGTCAGGACCCATGTTGATATCCCATTAAAATCCCACATTTGTATAGCCTAATCAAGAACTATTAAGATTTCTCGCAATAACAGAATGGGTGTACTAGCAAGCATATTGTCAAATGTACTTTCTTTCCAACCTCTTAAACTGCAAAGGCATGTATATGGGCCTAGATGTCAACCTCTCACTCTTACAACTACTTAACTTAGTAGTATATTATAGTGAAAAAAACTACTATGTAAAATATTAGTTTCATAGTAGTTAACAAATAGTTTATAGTAGTTACTGAGTAATAAGCCTTAATTACTATTTTTAACAACTGAATAATGAGCCTGCAATATGTGACATATAATGAATAGCATAATATACATTGTAAGACATTGAAAATGTCTCCCTTACATCACTCTGTAGCTTGTAGGCCTGTTTAGCGTGTTTGACGTTGAGTTGTTCTGGGTCACATGTGTAGTTATGGAGGCGCTGGCGGTAGCTGAGGTCACTGGCCTGAGCCTGGCTCTTTCTGGCATGCAGAAATTCCGGCTGGTCTGCATGGATCTTAAACTGAGAGCGGGTCTCTTGGAACTGCTTCTTGTACTCATTGTTGCTCTGCAGCTTGCCTACTGCCAGAGAGTGCCTCATCCTGGGGTCATCCTCTACGCTGAGCAGGCCAACCTGCTGACCCTTCTGCTTCACAAAGGCCTCCTTATAGCGGAACTGAAGAACAATAGGAAACCTTGGTTCAATCCAAATTCCACCTATTCTGTGTGTTGATATTTTAAAAGGGACCAAGAAAACATGTTACTCACATCGCTGGCGATTTCTCTAGAGGCCTTGGCTGTCTGGAAGGGAATGGCATCTAGTCTCAGGTCATAGCCAGCTGTCTTTACCTGGTCCCCTGACGCTTTATAAACTTTCTGCAAATTGAACACACAGGATAGAACATAAGCTGATGATGTCAGAGTTCCTTCATATAAAATGTGGTTAAAAACCTGTCATACATCACTGATCTGCTGAGCATTAATCCTGGCTCTGATGAAGTCAGGATGATCAGCAGGTAAGGTGTATTTATGCATGGACTCAGTATCTCCAGACTTATACAGCCTCTAAAATATAAACAGGGACAGGTCAGAGCAACAATTCATCATAGATACAATAATACTGTACTTTTTTTCTGTCACTTCTACAGGATTTTATTTTTAAACACACCTCACTACACTGCATGTAGCTGTTCTTGGCATGGATGATATCAGGCGAGTCAGCAACCTGGGTAAATTTCAGCCTGTCAGGTAGCTGACGATACTTCTTCTGCAAGAGCAAAGCAGGAAATTTTCACAGAAGGTAAATGTTAAACTGTATAAACAAGTAGATGAATTGTCTTGACATTATCATATGTTTATGGTATTAGGTCTGCCAGCCTGGACTCACATCACTTATGAGCTCTCCAGCTTTCTTTGCAGACTCCAGCTGAGGAGCTCCTACTGAGTCCCAGGCCACTCCCTTCATGAAGTTCAAATCTGATTTGTATACATTCTGAGAAGAAAATTGCACGTTACTTGGGATAGTGTTCAGTCACAACACATTTTCCTTCCTACCAATATGACTTTGGTTTTCCAGTCTCTTCAAACTACTCACAAAAAGTCATTTATTGAATTTGCTTGATTCAAATGGGTATAACATTTTTATATGAATTAAACATGTACGTCAACATATTTATTGCCAAATGTGAACTGCAAGAAATTTTTTGCATCTAATTATGTTATTAATTAGGAAAGATGTACTCATTTGAATCCATACTTTTTTCAATGTCACACTTTTCACTCTCTCAATCTTTCTTTCTAAACTCCTTCTGTCTTACCTGACTCTGCAGCTCGTAGGCCTTTTTGGCCCATTGCACCTTAATGTCATCAGGCAGGACAGTGTAGGAGTGAAGGTGGGTCTTGTAGTCCTGATCACTGGCCAGGGCCTGTGCTTTCTTAGCATGGACCAGGTTAATCAGGTCCAGTCCCAGGTGATACTCGCCGCTGGTGGACAGGGCGTCTTTGCGGTAATTCTTATCACTCTGCAGACGTGCTGTCTGCAGACAGTGTAGGAGGTGAGTGTCATCCATGACGCTCCGTGCACCAATGTGCTTGCCCTTCTCCAGAATGTGGTTGTGCTTGTACTGGTACTATAGAAAGAATTGAATTCAGAATGTGTTCAAAGTTTACTCAAAAAGTTAGTGACCACATTTGTGAATAATAAGAAAAACATTATTAGTGAACAACTCAAATTACAGCGAAATAAAAGGCATCACAATTACAGCTTTTGATATCTGTCTCGTATATAAAGTGTTCTTAACTTTCAACGTACGATAATAAGATTTTATGTCAAATTATTCTGGGCTATTGGACCATTTCTATTGGTCCATTCTTTTTACACAATGTAAAGAGCAGCTGGTGTTAAGTAAAAAAATAAAGAAAAACAACAAAAATGGACAGTATATATTTATATATTTTATATCACAACTACTTAGACAGTAATATAAATGTATAATGTTCTGTTCATCAGGTAAAAGCATGCATACATTAGTCTAGTTCTGTCATCTTTCTATGGTGGAATTACAGAATAGAGAACATTGCTGTCTATGTCTGTAGATGTTTACAGAACAAGTAAAATTAGCATGGTTTTACTTACATCACTGGCAATGTCTGTGGATGCTTTAGCCGCCTGGAAGGGGATGTCTTGCATGGTCAGTTTATAGCCTTGCGCTCTCAGTGTGTGCCAAGACTCTTTGTATTTGGTCTAGAATAAGAAAGCACACTCAGGTAAAAGGGCATTCTGGCCTAAAATTACAGTTGAATATGTTATTTGTCATATTATGTAGTATTCTGTAGCACAGCATTATATCCCTCTGCCAAATCAGTTTGAGAGAATTATGATTTTATATAGCATTCATTCATCAATGTTCTCTCACTACAATACCCCATAGATCATACAATCATTGGAAATCCCTGTGGTGTCAAATTCTGACTGCAAGCCTAGCCACTGATCAATACACTAAAAACTAACTATACAACTAAGCCAGCATCACTGTAACTCTTACCTTAGTCACTGAACAAAATCACAAAGAAAACAGGAATTTGACCTTTACTCCACACAAAATGGACACCAGACGGCCAAAGAAATGAAGCCAAACTGAGGTAAGGTATCTACATAGCTAGGTAGCTCCCTTGCTACCATTAGCATTGCCTCCTCATCCCACAAGTCAATTTTGTCATTTGAGTAATTAATTCTCTACCTTGTGATGATGAGTTGAAGACAGTTACTGCAGGTATATGGCGGCAATAAGACATTTGGCCACCTAGCAGTAACATTAGCATTCACCAGCTAACAAAAAATCATTCAAAACAGCCTGCCCCAAAAAATCCACCCAAAAGCAGTTGTAGTTTTTTTAAAGTTATTCCCACCTTCAAGATACATCACCAGAAGGGAGTTTTCCTAGTCTTTAAACAAGAAAATCTCAGTTAAAGCCTTCTTATAACATACTGGGATAATCTAGAGCATCAAGCTATAGAATAGGGATTAACGTGTAGGAATGTAGTGAAGTTGGTTTGAAGGGCTTACATCACTGAAATTAGCAGCATTGATCTTGGCCTGTGTGATTTCTGGTCGCTCAGCTGTGATTGTGTAGTTATGCCTGTAGTTCTCTCCCTTCTCTTTGTACAGGCGCTGTGGGAAAGAGAGTTAAACACACAGAACAGCTCTCATCCTGTTTCAACAGAGAACAGAAACAGTGCAGATAAAAAGGTTTAAGTTCACCCACCTCATTGGTGATCTTGTTGCTGAACTTCGCATGAACAATGTCAGGAGAGTCAATAACAGAAGTGTGCTTAAACGTGTAAGGCTGCTGTCGATACTTTTTCTGTTGAACGAAAGAAATAGAAAAAGAAAAGGTTAAATTTTCTCTTGTCTATATATTCTTAGAGATTAATATAGTTATATCTGACATTAAATGTTGAACATTTACATCGCTGATCAGCTGTGTTGCACGTTTGGAGCCCTCAATTTGTAAGGCACCAGTGGCAATCCAGGCTGCCCCACGCAGGTAATTCAGATCAGAACGATACGATTTCTGTTACATACATAGAAAGCATTGCTCAGAAAAACTGCAAGTTCAATAATATTATTATAATACTATTTTATGTAAATACTATGTATCAAACATTGCAATGGAGAATCCAGTTTAATGCAATAAGCAATGGCATGATTTAAAAGCTTTCTCATATTATGTACAGTGAATAAATTAAAATAAATTATTGTATTATGGATAAATAGTGCGATAAAAGTTTACCTCACTCTGCAGCTCATACGCTTTCTTGGCAGCCTGCACCTTCAAATCATCAGGCAGAGCAGTGTAATTGTGGAGGGTCAGTCTATAATCCTGATCACTGACCAGAGCCTGAGCCTTCTTAGCATGAACCACGTCCAGCATGTCCATTGGAAGGTGGAACTGAGAGTGTACTTTAGTAGAGTCCTTCTTATATTTAATCTAGAGAGAGAGCAAAAAAAGTTGACATTTAATGCATACACTATGTTTGTATGTCTGACTTGCTAATATGTTATTCATATAGTGTACACCACGGGCATACTCACATCACTCTGTAGCTGAGTGGCATGCACTGAGTGGGCGATGTTAATGTCATCCTCCAATGCTCTCAGACCAATCATCTTACCCTTCGTCCTCTCAAACTCCTCTTTGTACTTTTGCTGAAAGTGAACATTTGTGGCTCTCAATTACTTTTCATTTGTTTCCAGAATCAACCAAAATGAAATACAAGGACAGAAAATATAGTAATGTGAAAAATGTGGCAACCACTCTTACATCACTGAGTATCTCTGAAGAGGATTTGGCAGCCTGGAATGGAATAGCGTCCAAACGTAGCTTGTAGCCTGCATCTCTGAGCTTCATCCATGACTCTTTGTACCGTGACTGTAAAGAAAACAGTAATACATAAAAAATTTCATAATGAGTTATATATGGGGTACAATATACAGCTACCCACATGCAATGCAGTGCAAAAGCCAGAGATTGTCCTTTATTTATTTAATTTCCAGCCAAAAGAGCCATTAATTACAAGTTGTTCCTTATTCAGCAACCAGAAAAAAGCAGAAAACATTTATTTAACAGAATATTTCACAGAAGCCTCAACATCTAAATATGATCATATAGGATCAGTATTTCATATTTTGTGCATTCACCCTTTGCCTTTATCTTTTCAAAGATTTACTTTCAGTTTAAAAGAAGGAATGTTTTTACACACTGTCAAAATTTTATCTCCGAAGTGTACTTTCTGCTTTTTATAATCCAAGTAAACCCCAACGCATTCAAGTCATGTTAAAGTCTGGACTTTGGGGTGGTCAGTCCATTGTTCCTGTTTGGTTAGCAAACTTTATACTTTTGTGTCTATTTTCTTTTTTTAATCACAGCTTCTTAACAGCTGCTAAGCATTGAGCTGTCTTCTCACAGTGAAAAGATAGACTGCCTATCTCTCAAACATGAAGTACTGTTATCTGATGGTGTCAATTTTGGGAGTCCTATTTTCTCTATTTTCGGGAAACTTTTGACTTTACCCTTCCTTACGCAAGCAGATTATCATATCTAATCTCCTCAGAAATATCTCCTGAAAATTGACTAACTTAATGGCCATTTTAACAGGAAATTAAAAATCTCTGACATTTATACAGTACTGTACCTTTGGTATAATTTGTTGCTTTTATAACCTTTTCTGCAACAGGCAGTATGGAACCCAAGCTAGAATCTCACCTCGCTGATGTTCATGGCGTTCATCTTGGCCTGCACATGCTCTGGAAGATCTCCTGTCAGTGTGTATTTATGCTTCTCACTCTCCCCTTTCTCTCTGTACAGCCTCTGTAAGGTCACAAGATATAAGACAAAAATCATCAATAACTCAATGCAAAATACCCCAAGGAAAAATACTGTTGATTCATCAAGTGCATTCCATCTTTCTTAAATTTCTTTAAAATGATTTAGCAGTGGAATTTGCTTACTTCTAGTGCCAGCTTATTGCTGAGCTTGGCTTGCACCATCTCTGGTGTGTCCTCCACGCTGGTGAATTTCAGAGCACTGACATTCTGCCGATACTTTTTCTGGAACACACAGGAGAGACGTCAGAGATTTATTTGCCAAGTTCATTACTGGAGTCTGTTCTGAATGTAGAAAGATATACAATTATTCATATTCAGAGGTTTGGATAGTGCAAAAGATGTGACCGTATGTCAATGATGCTAAGTATAGACTAGTTGTTTTATTTTATTGTATACTCTTAACATTCCACACAGATGAAATATGTTTCTTAGAAATATTAACCCAGGCATGTACCCCTCTATTTTAATAGCTCTATTTAAAAGTTTTTATTTTGAGTAAAGCATATCTAATGACTGTAATAATAGCTGCAGTTAAGGAGGGTGATAATACAAATGCTCCAGTATGAACCGGTAATAAGCATTATGAGAGTTTTGTTTGGTCTAATACACTCCAATTATGACAGACTGGCAGTTCATTTCAGTATATTATATTAGACTGTGACACTCTGGCTTCATAATGGCTTTTTAATAGTCAGAATAAATATCAGACTGTTGTATAAAGGCTGGAGTTTTCAGATGTACTATATTTGACATTTGCTGAGTAAGAGGTTCTTCTAAGGCCAGGCCCCTGATGACCTGAGTAAAAGTTCCTTCATATTCTTAACATAACTTGCTTTCTCAAAATACAGCCTTAGTCATAAAACTGAATACAAAATATGGGTTATTCCCCACCAGATTATCTAGGGCCTGTCAGGTCATGTCATTTCATGCATTTCATGAAAAAAACTGTAGTAAAATTTGTTTAAATCATACAGCCACAACATCAAACCCTTCTATTTTAAAAAATTAAGACATTTTTGTTTTCCATGATATGGATCCTTTAAAGTGTTTAAAATGTTTTTCACCAGGTAAATTGCATCTTAAATATTGAGGTTAACTGCTTATAGAATGCTATGAACTGACTAAACAGAGCTGAAATTAAGATAAGTAATAGGTAATATTTAATTTAAATTTAACCAGTTGTCTAACTCAAATCTTAAGTAACTAAATCAAATTTAAAATGTAAGGAATTACAGTTGTCTGCAAAGTTACATCAGTTTAAAATTCTATTAGAAGCTCTCTGAGAGTTTATGATACATTATATGAGTCAACAAAAGGTGGCCATGTTAGTATTCTGTGGTACTATATTGGAGCTGAAACAGTTGATCAGTACCTCACTGGCGAGATCGCTAGCTTTCCTAGCCTGCATCACGTCAAGAGATCCAGTAGTCTCCCATCCCACACCCTTCATCCAGTTCAAATCTGACCTGTACTTTTTCTGAAGGAGAAAGAAATTCTCAGTGTTCTTTGACAAACAAGCTGCATATCAAGCATGCTGGAATAAGTGGTTGTTTCATCAAACTCTTACATCACTCTGTTGACCATAGGCTTTCTTGGCCCACTCCACCTTCATATCACTCGGCAGACTTGTGTACTCATGCAGGAAAGTTCTGTAGTTGGTCTCTGTGGCCAGGTCTTGGGCCTTTTTAGCTTGGCTGATGGTCAACATGTCAAGCGAGGCATTGTATTTGGTCTTAGAATTTTCATACTCTTTCTTATAGTCACGGTCACTTTGAAGCTTAGTGGCCAGGGCTGAGTGAGCCATCTGAGAATCGTCTGTTACAGTCTTCACCCCAATCATCTTCCCCTTTGTCATCTCATATTGCTGCTTGTATTTCACCTAGTAACCACCAAAAAAGATAGAATAACAAAATGCCTGTAAATTTTACAGAACAGAATAGAATGCAACTACATTTTCCACATTTTATATTAATCAACAACAATCATCACATTATGAACATTAAGAATGATTTAGGAGGCTAATGGAGGCTTTTCTTTGATATCATCACTTTGAGTATTACTGTAGTTTTAGTCTGCAGGTTTTAGGTTGACAGGAGTTTGGTTTTGGTCACTCACATCACTGGCGAGATCCCTTTTAGCTTTGGCAGTGAGGATAGATAGTGCATCCATACGTAGCTCAAAGCCCTTGTCCCTTTGGGCCTCCCAGCTACTCTTATATGTTTTCTGAAGAACACATATATGACAGCATTAACTTAAAATCTTAATGCTAGCAGGTTATTTGATGTACAAATAAGTAACACATTTGAAAATTAACTCATACATTGCTGAGAAGCTCTGCATTAGCTTTGGCCTGCTTGTAGAGAGGCTCGTCTTTGCTCACAGTGTACTGATGGATGATCTGTTCTGTACCCGCCTTGTATGTTAGCTGATGGTGAAAAAAGACCAATAAGAAACTAAATGAACTGACACACAATGCATAATATAGAAACCAATCAGACAAAACATGTTGACCAAAAGGTTTATAAAAAGAATCTAACATCACTCTGCAGTTCCTGACTCTTCTTGGCATGTTTGATAGAGGGAGTGTCGGCCACTTGAGTGAATTTCACTCTGTCCACCTTCTGACGGTACTTTTTCTGTGAGGAAAGAGAGGCATCAGTCAGAAAAAAGTCATCAATTTTCCTCCTAAAACACTGTAGCCTCCACATACAACTTACATCACTTAGAAGTTCTCCAGCCTTCTTGGCCTGTTCAACATCCAGGCAGCCATCAGCCTCCCAGCCAACCCCCTTCATCCAGATCAGGTCTGAGCGGTACCGGTTCTGTTAGGGTCAAACAGCAGTGCTCATAGGTACATTACAGATAATAAAACAGTTAATTTAGTCCTTTGTTAACTCTCTCTTCTCTTACATCACTCTGCAGGTCATAGGCCTTCTTAGCCTGCTGCACTTTGATGTCATCAGGCAGAATGGTGTACTCATGGAGCCTCTTCCTGTAGTCCAGATCACTGGCCAGTGCCTGGGCTTTCTTCGCATGGTTTAGGTTCACCATGTCCATAGGCAGGTTACACTTAGTCTGAGTTTCTTTTGAGTCCTTTTTGTAGGCAATCTAAGGAGATGTGAAAACATGACGCTTTAATTCCTCACTCCACAACAGTTGTTTGTGTATTAGAGCAGTTAATTTCAATACATTGTTAATGTTGTAACAAAACTCCAAAAACATTTTTAACCTCAATGGGTGTTTCTGCAATACAGGGGGTACAGGTCCCGGCAGTGGATTCTTGGAAATATGTTCACATTTTTAGCATGATGCATGAAAAATATTTTATTGGTGTCATAAGACATTTCCACATGCAAAACTTGATGCTAAATATAATGTAATATTATATACATATATATTATGAAGCATATTTTGGGTCAAAATACCAGACCTGTTCACATCCCACACCTTCAATGTTCAAATGCATAAAGGCAAGTAACAGAATTACATCTTTTCAGTTGAAACCACATTATACAAATGTTAAATCTAATCATATGGAAATAAATACTGTTGGAGATCATTAATTTGTCCTGCATTTATATGTCCTTACCACAACACTGACCAAATGATCTAAATCACTTTTTTAAAGCCAAGCAAACTTAATGCAAACAAACCTAATTTCAATGGAAACACAAGTTAGCCAAAGCATACATCGACAAAAGTGCGGGAAGCCTAATCTAGGAGTATCTGGATTTCAAGAAAAGCAAAGTAAACATCATCTTTTTAGATTTACTATGTTATGTATGTTCTTACCATAATGCTTAGAACTAATGTATTTTGTCTTTTAGAACAATTTTAAATTCATGTTGTATTAAAATATATAGGTTGTCTTCCAACGGCAATTCAACAGGCCATGCTTTTGCTATTTATACTCAAAAGCAATGAAAAAGTATTTACTGCAACTTTATTTATTGTGCACTTTGTTATGGTAAGGACAGGTCATGATAAAAACATTTTTCTGTTTTTATAAAAATGTGGACAGCCTTAACTCCCTGTAGTTGCAAAAACCTCCTAAAATGTATTAATTGAAGATTTCTGTTGGTCCACTCATACAATGTGCAGCTGTGATTTTCAAATGGTTAAAAAAAAGAAACAGAGTTATGATGTTTTGATATGACATTTCATATCCTTCTATAATTTTTCCCATTTTTTAATTGGTCAAGAAATGTTTACCTCACTGTTCTGCTTTGCCACTTGGAGACAATGGAGGGTCTTGGAGTCACTCACATTTACACCTACTGCTTTATCCTTGTTCTTCGCATATGATTCCTTATACTTGATCTGCAAGACAGGCTCACAGTTACTTGATAATGGTTTGACATCATATATATCACGATATATCACAAGCAGCATGTTATAATTAAATTATTCATATAAATGATTTAAACTTTGACTTACATCACTGGCCAGATCTCGAGAAGCTTTGGCAGCTTTAAAGGTCAGCGTGTCCAAACCAATATCACAAGCTTTAGACTTATTCTTCTCCCAGTCCTCCTTATACTTGATCTATAGCCATGGAGAGAATCAACAATATAATAAAAACACCAAGCTGAAACTGGAAGGCACCCTAAGTGTTACTGTTTTTATGGCATAAACTCACATCGCTGATGAGCTCTGCATTGGCTTTGGCCTTCTTGAGCTGAGGCGTATCCTGTGCTAAGGTGTACTGTGTCTTAGTTTTCTCATAGTTGGCTTTGTAGTTCAACTGCAAAAGACATCACAGGAGATTTATAGCCGATGATGTGTTACACATAATACATTAGACATGATTTTAGACAAAAATGATAGATTTCACTTCTAGAGAAGAGATGAATACTTACATTACTAAATTGCTGAGCATTGATTCGAGCTTGAATAATGTCAGGAGTGTCTGTCACCTGGCTGTATTTGAGCTTGTCAATGTGCTGTCTGTAATTTTTCTGTACAGGAAAAAATATTTAGCTATGAAGGCAATGTTCTACAGTACTGTGCAAATGTAAGAAACCACCCTTTGTTTTTTCTGTCAAAATAGCCATTAAGTAGACATTATTCATTTTTCAGGAGATATTTCTTAGGAGATTAGATATAAGATCATCTACTTGTATAAAGAAGGGGATGTTAAATGAAAGTATAAGAAAAAACATTTAACTGCAATGGAAATTCTTAAAAAATATAGAGAAACTAACTAATGACAATGCAAGCCCTGGTAGACCACAAAAAACTGTCACCATCAGATAAACAGTACTTAAAGCTTTCATCTTTGAGAGAGGAGAAAATCAAGCTCCACTCCACTTACCACAGTTGTTTCTGTTCATCCTTCCACTGTGAGAAGACAACTCAACACTATGAGTCTGAGAGCATGTATAGCTATCAAGAAGTCGTTATCGAAAAAAAGGAAAATCTGCAAATCAATCAAAGAAGCTGCTGGTGTTTCAGAACAATGGACTGACCACCCCAGAGTCCAGACTGAAACATCACTGAATGTGGCAATGTTTGGTTTGTGGGATGAAAAAAAAAAAAAAGAAAATATCTACCAAAAAATAATAAAAAGCTGAAGGTGAACACACTGAACACAATACTGAAAATTTTGATACTATATTTATTTGTTCTCTGTCATTTTCTGTTTTCTTCTTTTTCCTGACACTGAAAAATTAATAACTTCATGGCAATTTTGAATTTTGCATTGTACTATATTTAGATGTATTTTGTGTATTTCAAAAATCGCTTGTGATTTCAGAAAAGATCACACATTCAGCAGACTCACATCTTTGAGAGGCTCAAGTTTCTTCTGGGTCTGATAAGATGGAGTGATGTCAGCAGGGTAGTTGTACTCTCCCTGCTCCATCTTTTCCTGCCCATATTCTGACTTATACGCAACCTGAAATGAAGGAGATTGACTTAGTGAAACTTGTCAGTGTAATGATTATTTTGGACTTTAAAATAATATAAAATGTAGAAAGTATAAACTTTACTGACAAAAAGCTCTGAACTCTAACATGATGCAGTCTTTCAATACACTGTTCTTACATGTTACATTTACAGTACAGGCACATTGGGTTTGACATACCACACAGGAGGAATAGCAGTGCAATAACAGTAATGAAGTCTTACATCACTGGCCAGCTTTCTGACTTTCATGGCATGCATAGTTTTCTTGTCCAGTCCAGTTCCCTCATAGTGACCCTTCATGTGACTGGTATACTTCTCCTTATATTTATTCTGCAATCAAACACAATTTAAAACAAAATTCAGTGCACGCCTGCAGTGTTTTCATTCATAAGCAGCCAGATATCATTTCATGTGCAGTATATTTCTCTTAGTGTGGATTTATTTTACCTACATAACTGTGATGGAAGGAATTTTTTATATTTGCATGATTATAAATGGCAGCGTTGAAACAGCATGACTCTGCATAGTAACGTCTCACTTAAATATAGAAAACGCTCTCACTCTATGAGCAGTCACATCACAGATGGCATACTCACATCACTGGTATACTGGGCGATCTTGGACACGTTTTTGAACTGTGGTGTTTCGCAGTAGTTGATGCTGTGTCCTTTTGTATTCTCAAGGTCCTTCTTGTATTCAACCTGAATGAGAAAGAACAAGAGGTGATCAGTTATAGCACGAACAACCATAATCTGATACCTTCCATTTCACTCGGAGTGATGTAGTGACACACTGGAATTCTAAACATTTGTCTCTCGTGGTGACCTTCACGCCCACACACAAAAGCCTCTTTGCTCTTTGACCCCTAAAGATAAATCGGACTCAGATGATGATATGGCAACAGACTATGGTATCATCAGGTATCAACAGAGGCATGTAGACAGATGCTTTGGTGCCATCTCTGGACGCTGATGTGGTGTTTACAGGCGTGAGTGCTCTCTGACTATGCTCTGTGTGAGGAGCTGAGCTCAGCGGGAGAGCCACGTGAGAGATGAACACAACGCAGGCTTGGAGCCTTTATGTCTGACTGAGCTCATGACCAATTGCTTTTTTTAATCTTCTATATCATGCACAGTATTATACAAAGGTCTGATTTTGCTGTATGGGCTTGCAAGGGAACCACAGTCCAACTCAATGGCATATGGTCCTGACGGCATGTCATGGATAATGTTCCAAGAACATTTAGGGCTGGTTTCATTTACATTTACATTTACATCATTTAGCAGACGCTCTTATCCAGAGCGACTTACAAAAAGTGCTTTCCTAGACATGGATTATACCTATCATCATCGGAAATCTTAGCGAGAATTTTTAGCCCAGGCTGAGTCTGGGAAACATGTCATAATTGTGTACAAGATATGTATATTCTATTTGTAGGTGTGTTCCGCTTACCTTTTTCATCTATAGGCTTATTATTCAGTTATAAATTAATTTTAAACTTATTATTCAGTAACCCTTGTAAATAATTGGGTACCTACCATATTACTGCACTAGTCAGAGGCCACCCTTCATTTATTTACTTCCAGTCAAAGTGGCCATTAAATAATTTGCTATATATATTTCAGCATCAGAAAAAAAAACAGAAAACATATATTTAACAGAGGCCTCACCTAAATATAGCATCAGTATTTAATGTGTCCAACTTCTGCCTTTATTACAGCTTCCATTCTTCTCAGTTTCTTCATCTGCAGGGATACTTTTCCACACCTCTAAAGTTCAGTCTGAGAAGTTCCAAGTAATCCAAGTAATTCAAATTACAAATTTTGACTTAGAATCGGTCCATAGAAGTTATTCCACATCTCAGATAGCATTGAGTTTTTTTCTCACAGTAAAAGGATGGACAGAAACATTTGTAGATTTTACTCAGATCTGAAGCAAGAGTGGAGCTTGATTTTCTCTTCTCTCTCTAAGATAAAAGCTTTAAGTACTGTTTACTTGGGAGCACACAGTTGTAACTTTGTTTTAAAATTGGTTAAATGGAAGAGTTGAAGTAGTAGCAGGGTGCACAAAAGTAAAAAAATACACAATAAATACTGATAAATTTGATATACTTGAAGTGTTGAAGGCTTCTGTGTAATTTTCTGTTATAATAATATTTGCTTCCTGCTTTTTTTCTGACGCTGAAAAATGAATAAGCTGTACTTAATGACTGCTTTGACTGGAAATTAAATGAATAAAAGGATGGTCCTTGCCTTTTTGTACAGTACTGTTGTGTTGAGTACATAATGTATGAGAGTGAGGAACAGAAATGCACATATGGGCTGTTAAGTTTAGAATACCTTTGTGTATGCTGTTTTTAAAACTACACTTCAGAACCTCACCTCGCTAACGATCTTATTGATCTTGCGGGCATTCTTCAGAGTCAGGTTGTCATCAGGAGCCAGAGAGTGGTAGGCAGACGAGCCCCTCATCTTGCTCAGGTCCTTCTTATATTTCAGCTGTAGGTTAAAAAAGGAGAGAGGGAACAAGGTTGGTGCTGCTTAAAAACAACAATGCTGATGTCAGGTTGCATTCTCCTGGTGTGAGCAAACACACATGTGCTCAAATATACACTCAAGATGTGTGACTAAATCTGTCTGTTGGGAGCTTGTGGAGTGACAACACTAGATTCCTGGCTGGGAGTCATGACAGTAAGATTGATTACCAAACCTAGAGCAGATATTCTATGTAGAAAAGGCAGCATGGACAGAACACGTTTTTGATTGATCAGGCCCACACTTTTCTGTTAAATGTTGTTCAGGTAGACACAGTAAGCCTATAAGATGTGTCAAGAGTCTCTGTTTTTATGTAACAAAATGTGCATCATAACTTCCTACTAAAAATATCCACTATACAAACAAGTAGTAAGAATGGAGCTCAGTGACTTTAAACACGGCACTGTCAAGGATGCCACCTTTGCCACAAGCCAGTTCTGCATTTCTAGATCTTCCCAGGTCAACTGTAATTGCTATTATTGTGAAATGAAAGCATCTAGAAGTAACATCTCTGTTGCATCACTGGAAGCAACATCAGCACAAGTACTTTGCATCAGGAGCTTCATGCAATGAGTGTCTATAGCTGAGCAGCAGCACAGATCACTAGGATCACTACAAGCAATGCCAAGAGTCAGCTAGAATGGTTCCATGAACTGTGGAGCAGTGGAAACGTGCTCTCTGTAGCGAAGAATTACGCTTTACTATATGTCAGTCTGACGGGTATATCTGGGTTTGTTGGATGCCAGGAGAACGCTATCTACCAGGAATGCATGACTGTGCCCCTGTGAACAAAGCCAGCTCCATAAACACATGTTTTGACAAGTTTGGTGTGGAGGAACTCCAGTGGCCAGTGCCCTGACCTCAAGCCCACAGAACACCTTTAACATGAATTGAAAAGTCAATTACTAGCCAGGTCCTCTCGTCCAACATCAGTGCCTGACCTCACAAATGCTTTTGACTGAATGGCACAAACTCACAGACACTCTAAAATCTTGTGGAAAGCCTTAACAAAGAAGTGGAGGATGTTATAACTACAAAAGGAGGCCAAGTCCATATAAGTGCCCATGATTTTAGAATGGAATATCCAACAAGCTGTGATGGTCAATTGTCCACATACTTTTGGCCATATAGTGTAGGTGTAGTATAGTACACAGTGATAAGCTAGCGAAACTTAATTAAAGATAGGACACTGTGATACTCACATCACTGGCAATGTCGCTGGCTTTCTTGGCCATCTGGTATCCAGGCGTGATCATAGCAGGAAAGCTTCCTTTGCCTCTCTGCTGCTCATACTCCTCAGTGTAGGCATGCTGTGAGGACAAACAAATACATATACTTAATGATGCACACACAAAAATATAGTTCATAAATTATTACTGTAATATGTATCTATTATATATAATAGGGTTAAAGTGAAATGCAAAGTGAGGCAGAAAACTATACCGTTGAAATATATCATTTGGTAAAAAACACAGACATGTATGCATTACTACTGTCCAAAAGTTTGAAATGTCTTTTTATATTGATAATTGCAATTTCATTCCAGACTAATACAGTGTAGACTGCAATACTATAAGCTAGACAACAGAAAGTATTTTAAGATGTTTTAATTAATATGTCAGTCTTTTAAGAACAGCAAGCTATTAAATACTAAATAATATATTTACCTAATATATATTTAGATGTATTAATATGCTATATCTATATATAAACATTAATATGATATATCTACTGTAATTATGTCTTTACAGTAACTTCTTGATAAGCTATCTTAAAATTTGATCACCACTTTTCAAATATGAGGTATTGCAGATGTTAATTTTATTATAAATTCATGTTAGATGTTCTATAGGTTTATCAGTCATTGTGGAATCAATTACAGCTTTGTTCATTATTCTGAATACATCTAAAATTCTTCTTTTTTTACAGTTTCATAAAAATTTGTCGTAGTTGTAGAAGTGGCATCTCATTAGGATTATTTTATACAGCAAAATTGGTTTTGTATGAATAAAAACAGTCATTCCAAATTTTTGAAAAGAGATTTGACATTTTTAATGGTAATGTGTCTGAATTTGCATGGCTGTTTGCGAGTATTTCAACTTCAAGTCTCCTCCGTTAAAGTCACTTCCTTTTGTTTATGCCATGCAATGGTAAATACTTTGAAGTACATGCCTGAAGCCTGACCAATCTGCTACAGCTAATGATCAAATTGGATTAATTAACTATAGCAGACCTCTTTTTCCTGCAGGGCACCGTCAGAAAAAAGGCTCATCAGATTATTACACAGATGCCTGGCCACAAGTGTAGCTAGCAGTAAAAGCCCAAACAGTATGATTAAAAGATCGTGTCAAAAAGACAGAGGAAATTTGATGAGTATATTTGGAGGAAATGAGAATGTGCCATATGGGGACGATATTACTGATATTACTGAATGAGCAGTGCCTTAAAATGAGCTGAAATGGAAAAGGAATGAAATGTATCACCTGACTGAACTTCTCTGCATTCTCTTTGGCCAGAACGAGCTCAGCAGCTCCAGCGTCAGTGCTAGCCTTACCCTTCATCTCTTGCTCATACTTCTGCTGGTACTTCACCTGCACAACATAAGCAATCAGCTTTGTTGTTTGGACATGCAGCTGTATGCTTTATTTTTTCCAATATGTCAAACTCAGCAAATAAACTGAGCACTAAAAAATTTCAGAAAAATGCATATTTAAGATTTTTCCCTGAACAGGGTGTGTTAACTTATTTTCACATAGAAAATCAATAAAACTTGTAATTGTTCAAATTTTTGCATACAGCTGTAAGCCTGAAAGTAAAGTATGAGTTATGTGTGAGTACTTACTTTACTAGCCATCTCATTTGCTTTCTTGACCACTTGGTATCCAGGAGTGACATGGGCAGGGAAACTACCTTTCCCTCTCTGCTGTTCATAGTCCTCAGTGTAGACAAACTGTTAATCATGGGTAAGAGATTACCCCCCTATCCACAGATTCATCTTTTTTTATAAATTATATAGTGTTAATCAAGTTCTATAGATTGAATGAAAGTGTGAGAGGGTTTGTGCTTACATCACTTGCAATTCTTCCTTGGCTTTTAGCCAGGACCACTTCAGGGGTATCTGTCACAGTTGTGTACTTCGACACCCTCTCCTCATGTCCCTTCTTATATTCCACCTGAAAGTAAATTACACACATACAGAAACTGCTCAAAACTTCTCTTACAGCATTTACTGTGGAAGTCACGGCACAGAATTCCACAGTGCTTGCACCTCAGGGGGGTTTACTTACATTGCTTGCAAGAGTGTTGGCTTTCTTGGCCACTTCATATCCTGGAGTGAGCATGGCAGGGAAGCTGCCTTTTCCTTTGGATTGTTCATATACCTCTGTGTACTTCACCTGTCAATCAAGAGCACAGGCTTAAGCATAGGCTCCAGAGTCATGCAGTGTCCTTTCAGTTAGTAAGAATACTTTTAACATACCAAACTTCTATATTGTTTTGAAAAATATTAGCCATTGCCCAGCATACATTTCAGTAAAATTCAACAACCCTAAAAATATTTTATCTAGCTCAACCTTTTGGAATTGCCCTTACAGCAACAACAAAATAAAGGAGGCATTGTGACAAACAGTAGACAAACAGAGACAGAAATAGGTCCAAAATGTCAGAGACCGCCGTTCATTTATTTACTTCCCACTAAAAAGGCCATTAAGTACAGGTTATTCATTTTTGGAGATATTTCTGAGGAGATTCTGAGGGAAAAATAAACTAAAAAACAGGGGTTTCCAAAACTGGAGTTCAAAAAATGGGTCTCTTAATAACTGTGCAAAACCTGGTAGGCCACCAAAACTGACACCATCAGATAAACAGTACTTCATATGTTTAGCTTTCATCTTTGAGAAGCAGGAGAAAATCAAGCTCCACTCTTGCTTCACATCTGAAATAAATCCACAAGTGTTTGTCCATCCTTCCACTGTGAGCAGACAACTCAATGCTATGGGTCTGAATTGAGGTGTAGCTGTCAAGAAACTGTTACTAAAAAAAGAAAACAAGGGAAAATCTGCAGATCTTAGCGTTCTTAGAAAAATGAGCAGACCAGCTCAGAGTCCAGACCTCAACATCACTGAGATGTGTTTGGGATTCATTGCATCGTGAGATGCAGAAAATATAACCTACTTCTAAGATTGAACTTTGGAAAATTATCCCTGCAGCTGACTTTGGACAGCTGAAAGCAAGTTTTCTGAAAAGAATAAAAACTGTAATAAAGGTAAAGGTGGACACACTAATACTGAAAAAATGATTTTTCTGTTAAATATATTTTCTGCTTTTTTCCTGATGCTGAAAAATGAATAACTTGTCCTTAATGGCCAGTTTGATTGGAAATTAAATAAATGAAGAATGATCTCTGATTCTTGCACATAACACCACTTTGTTACTACAAAGGATTAATCATTTAAAGATTATGTGTTATATATTACATATGCAAATGAAATGCAAAATACTCTTTTGGAGTTGCAAAAAACTCTTTGTGAGATAAGCTCAGACAAAAGAGCAAAGTTGTATTATAAGGTGAATGTACTGGTGAATTACTAGCAGATTTGTTCCTGGCACTGTACACGCAGCAGTAAAAGCTATTCAAGCTAAGTGTAAAGTGCAGTAAAAGCCACTGTAGGGGGAAAGTGCCCATACATCGCTTGCCAGTGAGGTTCCAGTCTTAGCGTGTAGAATTCCAGGTGTGTCGGTCACAGAGGTGAACTGTGTCACTCGCTCATCGTGACCTCGTTTGTACTCCACCTAAGACAGAGAGAACAGAAGCACATGCCTTAATTTTCCATGGACTGCATCCATCACAGGCAGGAGTGTTCATATGCAGCTCTGAGAGAGATCACTTACATCACTGATGGTCTTCTGTGCCTGAGAAACACGAACTATCTCCTGGCTGGTTACGCTGCCTGAGTACCATGTCTGCTGCTCTGAAAACTCAGACTGGTAAGCCTAGGAAAAATTTCAGTGCACCTGTGAGCACCCTGATTTCAGTGGTCCTGAATTTAACATTTAACATTAACTCATCTGTAAAGGTGACATGAAGTGACCTCTTACCTGGTTGGTCATTTGGCTGGCCTTGCGAGCCTGCTCTATTTCTTTTGACCTCATGTCATAGTGAAAAGTGGACATGAAACGTTCACCTTCCTCTCGATATTTAATCTGAAAACAAACACAGTGTCTTCACTCAGCACAGTTCAGCTTAAGCACATAAAATATATTGCTTAAAAAATTGTAAGGGCCTGTACATAGGTCCACCACTGGTACAAATTCAGGGTGGGACTGGGGGCATGTCCCCTCCACTTTTTGAAATTATGCAAGATAATTTTGGGGGTCAGAGGATGGCTGTTGAAAAAGTACATAACTAAGTTACAAAAGAGCTGTCTGATATCAATTATTAGATAGTTTTAATTACAGTTTAAATGGTTCTAATTAAACCCAAAATAGATTATTATTTTGCCAGTAACAACTGAAAGAAAGAAGCACTGATATGAAATCATTTTTAACACTTCTCTACAGTACTATGACCGTTTGTTGAATTATACTACAGCGGTTAATGACAGTCTTTCCTTTTTCTTCTTAATTATCATCATATTTAACATTAGTGGGTATTTTGCTACAATATTTATAACAACATGGAGATCAGAACAAGAATTTTAGCAACACAATAAAAAGAAAAAATCACTGTTACAATAGGCAACAAAACAGAATCTGTGCTGAATATGTTTGATATTACTAATCCTGTTAAAAAGGTTAATTGTTTTTATGTTTTAATATTGGCATGCAAATATATGAAATATCAGTATTATACAGTCTGCAACCCTATCTAGATTAAGCAGTTAACAATGATGAATGAATGAATGAATTAAATATTAGTACAATAGTGGGCATACATTATTTACACATTGCTGTATGCAGGCTTTAACCTCCTGTTGTCTCCATTTGCCCCTGTAACTACAGCACTTACATTGTTGCTGTCCAAAGAAAAATGGTAAATGGTAAAAAATGGTTTACAGGAGAGGGCAAAAACTTTCTTAACTTTCCATGAAAGTCAATGTGAAAAGATTTTATTCCAAGCAATTCTAGAGCATTTCAATTCCTCTGATTGGTCCATTCATCATGAATTTTTCACACGAGCAACAACAAATTAGTTTCATAGTCACCAAATATTTCACAGCAATTATTAAATAATAAGATTAATAACTGAATCATAAGAATGACAAGGCCAGTACAACACTGATGCTAAGCTTATCACTTGTGAACATGTCCCCTACTAAGGAGACTGTTCAGTTCCTAGTGACTATAGTAATGCTCATCACATTCGTTTATCAGTCTACTCAGGCTTTAGCAGGAACTTCAGCAAAGAAGCCCTTTTTGAGTTTTTCTTTACAGTATGTCTTTAAAATGCTGTATGTTGATTTTAAAAGAGTTAATAAGCAGGTACCGATGGTGTTTCTTTTAGAGATGGAATAAAAGTATTTTTTAACTTAGTGGGTACATATTCTAAAAGTATTCCCCTACATATGTAAAAGATAACTGTATTCTGAATACTGCCTTTACAAAATATAACTTGAACTGAATATAGACATTTAATTTCTATATTCTGTATATGTATTCCCAATACCTGTATTATGTTATATCCCAATCCTGATCTTAAGCTTAGTGTTCAAGGGGTTAAAAGAATCATGATAGGGCTGTGATCATAATTTTTCAACAGCTATTTTTACATATCCCTAAAACAATATCGTGACTTGATTGGGAAGTAACCTTTAGCTATCAAGTAAAGATAGGCATACAAAGTGATGCCGTCTCCCTGGGTCAGAGCATGTGGTCAGTGCTATCTGTTCATATAGGAAAATGATCTGTGTTCTTACAGGTCTTTCCAGGAAGTAGGGGAATGATGTGCATGATGGAGTTTTGATAGGCCGCACACTGGAGCTCTGCAGAGCCCAGAGAAAGCTCTTAAGCAAGCTGACAGACAGGAGCAGGTGGGGACCCCAGGATGAGAGAGGGAGATGGAGGGGAAGAGAGAGAGAGAGACAGGACAGGGAGGAAGGAAAAAAGGAGGGCTGCTTTCTGGGGGCATAAATTTAACCACCAAGCGCATAAAGCAGACTAGCGAGGGGTGTCGTGTCGCTGTCACACTACAGAAATAGCTCAGAGACTCAGACCCCATTCCAAACCTGTAGAGTCACCAGGGCCTCAGAGTTCTCCTAAAAACAGCTTTACAATCCTCCCATAAAAAAGGCTTAGAAATAAATTTACTTAGTTACAGGGTCTTTGAAAGGACACTTCATTTCAGATCAGTTAGGACAATTTAGCAGTAATCAGGGCAATGGCCCCAGTCTCTCTAAAATATGGACTGTCTACGTAAACACTACTATTACTCTTTAACTTCATTAGTCTTAGCTGTCAAATATTGGAATCAGACCACCTTTCTTCTTTCATATTGGAGACATTAAGTTTTACTTCCACAGCAACAACATACTAAATATACATGTAATAATTAAACTGATATTTCTAGATTATCCAGTCTTTAATATATTCTGCTTTAGAATCCACTAATTAATGAAGCCACAATATACGTAATCGTGATTATCTCCTTATGAACATCATGATGTATGCAATGAGTAAAGCAATAAAAAGCTGCGTTCTGTCATTTAGCATCAATGAAATATAACCATAAGCTCACCTCACTCACAGCCTGTGCCTGCTTCTTAGCATTGATGTTGACGGGAGTTTCATAGACGCTAGTGAAGGTGTTGTTCCGTGGATTGTGTCTGTGAATTACATACAGGTTATAAGCACACTCAGTAGACACTTGACAGTTTTTTTAGCTGAGTGGCAGTGGTAAGAATGGCTGCATTGTTTACAGTTGTTGATGTATATGTAGAGAATGTATCTTTAGAGAAACAAAGAAACAATAGATGCTCTTTATTTACCAAGAGAAGATTTTAAATGAAAGATCATCCTGTACTTACACTTGACAATAAGGCCTCTTCTGATGGCTGACAAAATTATTGGCGGTGAGAACCATCTTACAGACCTCACAGTGAAAGCATGCTTTGTGCCAGTTCTGTTTATGACAGAGAGAACAGACAAAGAATGAATCACCCCGGTATTACACAATCTGGACCTACCTTTTAGTATTTTATTCTAAAGTCATGGCTGAAAATCTGACATGGCCATCTTTTTTGCTGTCCTCACTGGTAATGTGATGGGCAAGATCTTAAACAAACTGAATCCTAACCATCATCACCTAGCTTTCACAGTTTTGAGTTCATCATAAAAGATAATGTGTCACTGATGTATTAGTTATAGTTATATGCTAAATTATTGGCCAATAAAGACAAAATACGATGTTTATCGTAACAGCAAATGCACATCCACATTTTACATGCACAGAGTCTTACCTGACCAATGAGATTGATCTTCTCAGCTGGGTACACCACAAACCCACACCTGGCACAGTTTTGAATATTCATGTTTTTTTCCTGTTGTTGGAACCGTCACTACAGAGAAAAACAAAAATCAATATACAAGTTCTCTAAAAATCAGTGGTCTTGGACAGGCTACACGGGGTAAGCCAAAGTGCCCCAGACAGCCCCTGCTCCCGCTTGTATCTCACTCTCTGACCTGTGTTAAACTTAGCTCTGGTCTTTTGCAGGCCAGCTCTCTCCATTACATGACCTGGATGCAAGGTCCCACCCCTCTTTAGCTACTGTCAGCTGAATGGTTGGCCAGCTGTCTGTTAGTTGAGAGGGGAAAAAAGAGATGCTTCTGGGTTTATGTAATTGAATACTGAATTTGTTGTTGTTCATTTGGGCAGCTTAGTCACTGTGGTCTTTACATCTCCTAGATGTGCACAAAAATAGGGGAATGAAATCACACAGTGCTTACAGGTTGTTTGTGTAATACATACATTACCTCTGTGCTTTCTTTTACCATGCTTTGTCATAGTCGTAGTTTTCATGGTGTCCAAAATATTGGCTGGCTTACGTGATATCATAACATGCCCGAATAGCCTTAATGGGCTTCTGTCTTGTGACATTTTGTAAGGGCTGGGTGACTAGTGGGTGACTACCAAAGGTAGTATCAGAGGTAAACCTCTTTTCAAATGAAAGTATTGTTACTTTACTGGAATAATAAAGCAAGTAAGAAAAAACCTAAAAGGGAATTCCAGCAATTTTTCAGAAGTTCTACATAATTCAGTCATTGTAAAGTCATTTGGAGTGGTCTGAAGTGGAACAGTTCATTGTAGAGAAACTCGGAGACTCAGATTTTTTCTATAAGATGGTTATAGGAAGCAGGAGTTGTAAAGTCTACAGCACAAATATAGCCATTTTATATACTATCCAAAACAATAAGTAAAACTACAGTTTTCTGAGTTTATTATATTGATTACATTAAAACAGTGATAACTCTAACAAAATTAGACAAGCAAATAAGTCTTCTTTGGGCATTATTTTGCTTTACAACATCACACGAGTACCATTCCACCTTGAATGTATTTTTTTAAAATCTTTTTAAAAATGGTTTTCTTTTCACCCTGCACTGGTGACCTGTCCAGGGTGCTTCCTGCCTTCTGCCCAGTGACCGCTGGGATAGGCTCCTGCTCCCCCCCGCGACCCAGAAGGATAAGTGGCTTAGAAAATGTGTGTGTGTTTGTGTGTGTGTGTGTGTGTGTGTGTTCTTGTATTGCTATACTTGTGAGGACTCCATGTCCTCACCATGATAGGACTATATGAATGTTTTGCTCAAGTGAGTTGCTGGTCCTCACTTGAGCATGTGTTGTTTTCACCACAATTACTTTTTTATTTGAAAACTAAAAGAGCAAAAAAAATGCCTTTTGTATACTGAGGTTAAGTTTAGGACTAGGTTTAGGTGTAGTATTATTTAGCTACAGTAACACAAAAATCAATAGAAACCTATGGACATCCTCATATGTATAGCAAGATAAACGTGTGTGTGTGTGTGTGTGTGTGTGTGTGTGTGAGTATTTTCTTTTCCTAAATATATCACAAACAATGCCTTAGGTATTAGGCAATGTATTCATAGCCATTTTGTGTATCGTCTACCTGTGAGAAAGATTTTAGAGTCAATGAATTGCTCAGACCTCTGGTTCCTACCACCACTACTGTGAACAATTCTGACCAGGTACATTTCTCTAGAATGGCACATTTCACATTAAACTACTTTGAATTGCTTTATTTACATCTCAGTGATTTAATTATAAAGAAATTTGGGGAACAAAAACAAGTACTGAGTAACTTCTAGAATTGAAGTGGAACATCCTAGTACATCTCAGCATAGGAACTGACGTTTACTTGGAGCTAATCTTCTCTTTTTGATATACTCTTTGTCTAAAATAAGTAAGAGGTGTGACCAATCGCAAAAAGTAGTACTGGTGCTGTTACTGTTCACTAAACGTTAATGACTAAAAACTACGTAAATGGTAGATTTTTCTTCACAAATATAATTGAGTGGAAGTAAATGTATTATAATTTAAAATTACTCAGGGAAGTATATATTTTTTTCAGTGCATGTAGGTGAATACCACTTACCTATGCTCTTTAATAATGCATTCATTTTGAAAAAGTGGACATAGTATGCTTCCCCACTGTATACAGTCATTTTCATTAATGAATAGGTTTGTACTATGGCACATGATGCAGTTTAATAGTCTTCATATTTGTAATACTCTGATTAAAATTACCAGGCTGAAAATAAATGGGTGAAACTGAGCCTCTGCTATGACTATCCCTGTCTCCTTGAGGGAGTTACGCACTGGTTCTATTAAAAACATTGTAGTCTGTCACTATGACCTTACTGACTTAACGTGAAATCACTAAAAAAGACCTACAGATATACAACAGGAATTTCTACAGGATTCTTATCAGAATATACAGTAAATTCGCACAATTATTATATTATATATTACTATAAGACGGTCCTGCAGGAAAATATAGATTAATATAGAAGTGCTAAGTAGTAATACAGAACTGGAGAAATCTTATAATGCTATTCTAGATTTTGCAAGTGATGTGTAAGTGTAGAAATTCATGAAGACTAAAATTATGACGTGTTTTGGTCAATATCAGGTCATTTCTCTGTGTGGTCTTCTCTAGAGCTCTTAAGACGTCCCCTGTCTCTTTAAATGTTAAGCTAAGTCATGGTGGAGTTCAGTAATGTTAGTACCGTACATGACCGTTGGCAGCTACGTAACAAGAAAGTTTTACTCATCCTTCGTTTCGACTTCTTTCACTTTCTTTCTCCTCACACGGTGCTGGGTTAACATTTCAGTGTCCAGAATTAACGTAGGCAGCAAATAGCTGGACTTCACGGAGCACTTTCTGGCAGAGAGGTAGAGTTATTTGTTATTCTAAGTTATTTTTCTTTGCTAGCGTTTAGTGAGGCGTAGCCCTCATTCCTGCTCAGTGTCTTGGCGGTTGTTAGCCAGCTGTTACTTCACTGTTGTATTGTTAGCAAGGCTCGAAGATTGAGCTAACATAGCGAGCTAACCTACAAACATTTCCTGTCAACGTTCAATAACGTTATGTCTTAACGCAATTTATTATCAGCTCTCGTTCAGTATTTGCGGTCTCAAATCGAGACGATGCTATTTAACGAATACAAAATTCAGTTGTGACATTATGAGGTCTCGTTTACCAGGCTGGACAGTAAACTTGTCATGAATAGACAGTTAAGGCTGAAATGAAAGAAGGAAATGGTTAACCGCCCCACAGACGCCGTAGTCTACATTACTTTGAAGATGGTCAGAGAGTTTTAGTTCTGTTTTTGTACCACAGAAAAATAAAAAGAGCCGAGGTTCTTGTAGAGTCATCACAAGCGAACGTGTACAATGTTTGTCAACTATAGAGTTTCCAGCACTTTTTGACGATTTCTTTGCTCTGACTGGTTAAGCTCATCATGACCTGGTGTAGTAGGGAAAAACTTATCTAAATCTGTAATATTACTATAAGAAATTATAACATTGGTTATAACATGGCACTATATACTACTACTACTACTATTACTTAATAATAATAACAATGACAACAAAACAATAATAATAATAATAATAATAATAATAATAATTCATTTCCACATAGTACTGCATTGTAATCTATAACACTTGTGTAGCGTCCTATAGTAAGGAAGTAACCTAATTGTCTTAATTCACTGTAGGATTTTCATTAAACTAAATTAGTATTGCTATAGAGCTTTTTAGAAGGGCAGACCATGCAGGAGTCCAGCCCTCTATGAACAGATCTGGACCCCCCTAGTCTACTACAGTGTTATCCAGAAATAAGCATTAGAGGACCGGTATAAACGGAGTATACACTGTAATTAATGTTTGTCCATTTACCTTTACAGTAATATTTCTCAACAGGAACAGTTACACAGACACATTTAGGTGCTCTGCTATTCCAGGCACTCCATTAACACTGTTGCATGGGAATACTTGGGCGCACCCCCCCCAAAGTATACTGACAGCCATTAAGGTATATTTTATCCCATTTTACCGATTTTCAATTTTTTATTGTTATTATCAAAACAGGCATTTTGCATAACATGAACCACAATAACAACTGCTTTTTCATTATTTCTTAACGCTGCATGCTCAGAAAAGAACATGTATTACAGAATTACAAAATAATACACAATTTACTTCTTTTTTGTTCCAGACCATACATGCGTTTTATATATATATATATATATATATATATATATATATATATATATATATATATATATATGCAATTAGTAAAAAGAAAACTGGGATAATGTGTTTGGATTTCAGCATATATTTGAACAACAAACAACAACCCCCAATTTCAGCCTTTATTCAGCCCTAAGCTTTTGAGTGGAATTGTATTTTTTATGTGACCAGCATTAACAGTCTGTGTGTTCTTTACTGCAGTAACTTCAGGATGGAGGAAGAGACATTGCCTGCTAAACTTGAAGTGTATGAGGAGGGTGGGGAAGGGGACACGAAAGATGCAAAACCTGATCGTAAAGGAAGATTTCCTCTCTCTGGAAAGTAAGTCAGACCATCCCTCATCAATTTGCGGGGTGAAGGAGAGCATGTTCTTTTTGTATAACTTCTTTTTTATACTTAGAATTCATTACTTTTTATGATTGTCCGTTTTAGTGTGGGGTATAGAAAGACCAGATAATGAAATGTTATTTATGTGAAGCACCGCTCTTATGCAGCACTCTTATGCAGAAGAAGGGCAACAGGTGTGTAATGAGTTCAGAGGCCCATTTTCTCCACACGGTTATATATATATATATATATATATATATATATATATATAAAACAAGTTTGGTGATTGTACACACACGCATACATTTATATATATGTAAAGTTACCAAACATGATCCATATTTAGAAATAAGATACTAAAATTAGTATTTTAATTAAATGATAGAAATTATTTTGAGGGAATTTTCACTCTTAACCCCTAAAATCTTCTGGCTGGCTTATTACATGGAACATTCCTTCAGGGGAAAAGGGCAATTCTATCCATTTTTCTAAATTTCTGAATACCTAATTCATTGACATGAAAATAAAGAATGATTTGATGTAAAATAAGAAAATTAGTGTCTCAGATTTATTTACAGAAGTGGTGATTGGATCATATGCCTTCTGAGTTTTTACATGTATTGCTGATTATGTTAAAATAGTGGTAAATCTGAAAAAAAAAATTAAATAAATGTTTTCTTTTTTAAAAATCAGTATTAGGCCAAAATCTTATCTCAGAATTATCATAAAACAATGTCTCAGGCATCAGGCAGTGTATCTGTAAACATTTTACATAGCCCTCTGTTAGGTAGCTTTTAGAGACAATTATGTGGTGATAGACAGATTATGAAGACTTTACACCATTTCAGCCTTTATTGTCTAGACGTTTGAGTAAAAAATCATTTCCATGTCACTAGAATTCTAATCTTTGTATTCCTTACCACAGTACATCCCGGGACGATGAAAAAAAATTGCCTGAAGTTTCAGTTAAAACTAAAGTGTCTGAGAAGGACAGTGGGGAAGAAGATGCAACAGATGCAAAACCTGATCGTAAAGCAAGATTTCTTCTTTTTGGAAGGTCAGTCATCATAAGGTGCATAAAGAACAGTGAGAACAAGACAGATAGTAAGTCAAAACAGTTACAGGAATGGTTACAGCAATGTGGGTCTGTTTTGTACACCAGGTGGCAACAGAGTGATTGTAATTATCACAGGTCAGCATATCCTGCATAGTAGAATTGCTAACCTTACAATACTTAAAAAGGACATGCTAACAAGACAAGTACAAGTTTTTTTAATCCCTTAAATTCTGGGGCCTATTACATCCTATGGCTTTTTATTTAGTAATTAGATTTAAAGCAATGCAAACTGGCAGGTTCTAGGATTGAGGAATGGATTTGCCATGCTTTGTGGACTGTGACACTTGAGTGAAGCGCAGATGTTTCAAACCCTTCATAATTAAACTTCTGGCTTCTATATTGATAAAGCTTCATCACTGAGTTTGATCAAGAAAACAGTAAAATCTATTCCAGCTCATCCTTAGAATTCTGTTCATGAAAAGGGAAAACTTATCCCAAGTTCATGAACACTGGCACACCTTGAAGGAAATCTCTGTTAGACTTACTGTGGATAGGTATACTTTTTAGTATTAACTAATATGGCTCTACATGGATGAGCTAGCCTGTAGGTCCGAGCAGGACTGTGTGGCAGTCAGCAGAGGGTCAGTGGTGTCCTGAATGGCCTCAGCAGTGCAGTTGAATAGGCCTTTAGAAAGCTCTGGGGGGTGGCGTGGCTGCTGACTCAGGTAGGGTGCACCGCCCCTGGCCAGCACAGCCATCACTCCACTCTTTATAGAGTATAGAGCATGTCAGGATCCTAGCGCACACCTCACCACACGCCAAGGAAAAAAAATCTACCCAAAGAGGTGAAGTTTGGACAAAACAAGCAGAGCCAAAGAGAGGAGCAACACGTTTCAATGCAGAGTGGCGTAGCACTAAATGAAGAACCCAGGTAGGACAGCCCTTATCCCAGCCGAGGACCAGCTAGTCATGCTGGGGGCTTTTGGAGGGGTGGGTGACTTTGGCAAGCTGCAGCTCCAGATCACATGGGATTTCTATGAAGCACTGATTCGTCCTAGTGTATGGGGCCACATGTGTGTGTGTTGTGTGTGTGCAAGAGAGAGAGAGAGTAGGAGCCCATTGTTGTCCGTTGGGTAACGTGTTGACTAGGTTCTTCTGGAATACTTGCACATATTGTGTCCAATGGCCGTTGTGGCCTACCAATCTGGATGGATCCTTTGAAAATACGGCAATGGAGATATGAGAAGTCTGTGAGAATTTTCCCTCAGGCATGTGAAAAATACTCTTTTTTGAAAATGTATTTAAGGTTATTACACTACCATAATGTTTGAATAGTTAGACTTTAATCTTTGATGTGGGAAAAGACCACTGGACACAACTCGATAAACAGCTATGACATTGCTTTCGTATTCATACTCGTATGTTATTTTTTGCTTTGTTTGATGTTTATTTAGTTCTCTAGTTCCACTAATTGTGTTGGTTGTTCCTTAATTATGTGATGGGAATGTATCTTGTGCTGTCAAAGAACGATTTCAGAATATTTTTTATTGAGCTAAGTGCTGCTGACTTTGGCTTGTTTCCCCATTTTTCCCCCGAAATTTTGGTTTGTGCTAATATTAAGGCTTTTTTTGTAACACTTTACTTAGTTGTAATGCGTAATTTCTGTCATGATGGTGTTTCAAGGTCAGGTGAATATTTTAGCAACCACATATCAGCTGTGCTCTTTTTTAAATCTTAATACGTTAATAGACTTTCATAGAGTATAGAAAAAAGAGGTTGTCCTGTTGTTCTGATTCCTAGTAAGAAGAATAAGGATGGCAAGTTGCGGGAAAAGGACCATTCTTCTGAAGGCCATTATAGGATTGTTTCACCAGCATTCCAGTATAAGATGAGCCACCGGCGAGTGGGCAAGTGCATCATCATCAACAACAAGAACTTTGATGAAAAGACAGGTAGGCCTTCTTTAAACTGAAGTTCCTTTTATCTTGTGTCAACATGTTTGTTATTCAGTTTTAATAAATTCACCGTTATTCACCAGCATCATTAAAATGGGTAAGCAGACTAGACCTTTAAATGAAAAAGGCATAACTGATAACTGTAGAGACATTGAGGTGATGCCACAGAATGGATGGTTCATTAAAGAATATTTTTTGCAAATGAGATGCGCCAAGTCAAGAACCGAGAGTGTCTTAGCAAATTAAGATGATAGTAATACCTTTTTCCATATGTACATTTAAGGGATGAATGTACGCAATGGCACGGACCGGGATGCAGGAGAGCTCTTCAAGTGCTTTAAGAACCTAGGTTTTGAAGTTTTCATCTATAATGACCAAACCTGTGCGAAAATGGAACGGTTGTTGAAAGAGGGTGAGTGAAACAGACTCAAATAGGAAACTATGCTGTTTATACTATTTAATTTTTAATATATTTAATTTCAGAACAAAAAAAAATCTGCAAACAGTAATGCTTTATCACAGTTTTAGCACTGAGAGAAGAGTACAGGTTGTTTCATCACAGTACTCTAAGATTACATCATGCTCTTTTTTGCTTGGTTGGTTCTTTTTTGTCTTGATAGAAAACTCAGAATTAGCATCAAGAGAATAGAAGAGTTTTTTGTTACCAACTTTTAAACACAAAATTGGAATGTGTATGTTATTAAAACATAATTATGTAATTTAGACCCCAATATTTGTGTGCTTTGCAGAAGGATTACATATAAAATCAAGATGTTGATTGTGAAGCACAAAATTAAGAAATTATTAAATTTGTTCTTTGTCCTTATTTTGTGTTGTTTTTGTCAGTCTCGGAGGAAGATCACAGTGACAGCTCGTGCTTTGCCTGCATCTTACTAAGCCATGGAGAGGAGGGTATGATCTATGGAACAGATGGGGCTATGCCCATCAAGAGCATGACCTCACTCTTCAGAGGAGACATGTGCAAGAGCCTTGTGGGCAAGCCCAAGCTCTTCTTCATCCAGGTAAGAGGAGCTAAACAGCTAGAAGAGAGGGGGGGAGAGAGGAGTACCAGCATAAAATGTTGTTCACTGATTTTATAAGTACATTTACTTACCTAGTTAATTGATTAATTAATTCTTGTCCACTCCATATTTGTGGATTGTATAAATGTTTACATAGTATATTCACTTACCTAGCAAATTCTTTCTTGTCCACTTGTGGAGGATATTAATGTGTTATTCTCACAGGCTTGTCGAGGTTCAGAATTTGATGATGGCATACAGACTGACTCAGGACCACCCAATGACACCATAGAAACAGATGCAAATCCTAGGCACAAGATCCCAGTAGAGGCAGATTTCTTGTTTGCTTACTCCACTGTACCAGGTAATTTGTGATTTTCTCTCCTCATCTCCGTTATGGCGCTGGGCAGAGCCCAAAGGTACCAATTTGATATTGCCTACAATTAAATGATGATGAATGATAATGAAAATACAGAGACAAAAAAAAATCTACTTTTTGCATTTGAATTTACTCTTCACTTAATAATGCAATTTGTCAAAGCTGTTGTTGATGTATTTTGATATATTAAGAATTATCTAACAAAGCTGAAAATGTTTAGATTTTTAGTCTGTCACAAACTACTATCTGCAGCAAGCAAATAGGAATATACTTTGCTTTTCAGTCACTTTGTGTTGTTTATTTCTGACACTGAATGTGTACACACGCTCACTCAATCGTGTTCCTTTTATATGGTGATAGAAAACACAGTAGCACACAGAAAGCAGTTTCACATGCTAACTCTACATTTACACACATGCATGTCCAAATTTTACTATGCTCGATGTGGATATGAACTGTTATGGCAGATTTTAAGTTAAAGGGGACACAGCCAGTCCCTGAGTCTCTGAGTATATCACTGGTGCGATGTTAGGGTTTATTCATTTCATATAAGATATGTGTATCAAGTGGTTTCTAACACAGTGTTTTTTTCTTTAAGGTTACTACTCGTGGAGGAATCCAGGCCGGGGTTCTTGGTTCGTCCAGGCTCTTTGTAACGTCCTCAATGAGTTTGGCAAGCAGCTGGAAATAATGCAGATCCTCACACGGGTTAATTACATGGTGGCAACCTGTTTTGAGTCCTGGTCTGAAGATCCACGCTTCAGTGAAAAGAAGCAAATCCCCTGTGTGGTCTCCATGCTGACCAAAGAGCTTTACTTCAACTAATGACTTTACGACCACCTCAGACCATCTTCACAGCTTTTGTACATTCAGGACTTTGTACACAGTACACACATCCTATTTTATCATTTCTTGCTTTTGACCACAACTGGTAAGAAGAAAATGCCACTTGCTGCCTATGCTTTTACATTTATGTTATATCAGCACAAATTACATATCAGGCAGTAAAAACTCAATAGACTGACTGACTTACTGACTGACTGACTGATGTGACCAAGCGGTCTCAATATTCAGGGATGATCCAGACCCAGCTGGAACCGGTGTTGTTTGTGTGTGAAAGCAATTTATTTCCTGTGTTACGCTGGGCACTTAGTAGATTTTTCAAAAAGTGCTTCTTCAGTGGCACTCCACGTTCACATGTTGGTAGTGATACGTTGCCTCTTCGAGTTATTCCATGGAACACTGACGTCACTGTTCTTTGTCTACTGGCAGTGTGAAATATCCATGTTATTTTACCAACTTGAAAGGTTTGCTGCCATTTTCTGTGAGAAATTGGAGCGAGTAGATGCTCATATTTTAAAAAATCGTTTTTTTCCTATTTCAGCTTTGGCCCTTTTTAGTACCAGCTATATATAACAAATTTGAATAATGTGACTATTGTATCTATGGCCAAAAGGCACTAATGGGATTTAGGAGGAGTTGCAGAAATTACAAGAGGAACAACATACAGTGAATCAGGTGTCAAAAGCCAGCATTGGCTAGACCTGTAGTTTTAATAGTTTGTGAACATCTATCCTTACTGCTTTTGAGAGACTGAACCTCACCACATCTACACCTATCACAGATAACAAGAACCTATTGCCCTACTTTCAGATTAGTAGGGTTGAAGTATATGGAGTCTGTACACGGGTTGTTTACATGAGAAAGTACCTCCTTCATTAGCTACCTTGCCAGCAAAACAAGGAGGGCTTGAAAATGCATCTTAATATACGAAGTCGGAAATGATGAAGTCGGCAGTGAAACATCACTATTTTTTATTGCTCGTCTTTCCAACTTTGGCTGGTGCAGTCTATGAATATTTATCAATGTCTTGTTCTGGCTTGAATTCAGTTGGTAGTTTTGTGATTGTAATTTTGGCCAAGAAATCTTAGCTTTCACAGTTTATGTCACGAAGGATTGATAAGTATTGTGAAAGACACTGGCTTTATCTGCCAAAGTTTAGGAAAGTGTGCCCTAAGCTGTAAACCTAAAGCACAAGTGGCCATTTGTTTGATTTTAGCTCGGTTGAGGTGGTCTTGCCAGTCCAGGGTTCAAAAGAGTTGGACAATGAAAGGGCATGAATGAGTTTGGAGTGACATAGTTGAGGGTAAAGTATTTAAATATCTTGAAACTATTGTTTTTCATAACTGTCAGTCTATCTTGCATTTCTTCAGGTGGTGGTTGTGAGTTAAACACCAATTTATCTGATTTAAACAAAGAAACCATCTAATTGGTGTATCAGAGGTGCCCTTTAAAAGCGCATTAATGGCTTGAAAGTTGTCATTTGATATTCACCTGATGTTCTGTCTTGAATCTAGTTCATAATCTACAGAGGCAGCTACTGTATTACTGGTGACAAGTTTATCCATTTAAGCACACGACTATCCCAGCCAGCTGGATTTCCTATTGCTGCAAGAATACAGCAGTGTTGTAGCAAGGCTTAGGTCATTTGACATCTTTGGAACGGTTGATTTTATTTCTTTTATTTCTTCTTGTTTTTTTTTTTTTATGTATTCCTTAGTCGCTCATTCACTTTTCTTCTGGATTACACAGTACTGTCAGTGATTTAATCAGATTCTGATGGAACAGTATAGTGATCACTGTTCTGCTGGTGGAACAGATAAACCTGTCAGTCAACCCAGCTTTCTCTTATATATATATATATATATATATATATATATATATATATATATATATATATATATATATATATATAAGATTTCCTCATAGTGGTGTAGTGCCCAAACTGTACCAAAGGGAGTATTTGCTCCACTTGTATTGGAATGGAATTTAAGGGAAAAAAGCTTATTTTTTAAAGTAAATCATTTTAAATGCTTTACAGTGTTCAATAAAATTGTCCTCAGGAATATATGAAATGATTTAGAAAAATAAAAATATGATATTTTGGGGGTATGAAGATATGCCCTCATTTAAAAAAAATGAATATGGTAAAAATATTTTGATTACTGCCATACCTTTGGCCCCTTTTGGAATTTGGGGCTGAATTTTGTTTAAATGACTTCACATGGAAAGAATGCCTTTGTAAACTTATTTTGTTGTATTAAAACAAAAATACATCTTGGTGTGTTCTGTCATTCTTTTATCAACATTTTGCACATCATTCACATATACCTCCAAAGAGCCATACTTTAAAAGGCAGCTATTTATCAGTTTAGACTGTTCAGTACCAAATTCGTGCAGTTCCCCGTCCCCCCCTCTGCTTTTTGCATCATAGAATAGGAGCAGATCTGGAGGCATCGCAGATCAGCAGTGGTTTCCAGTTAGTGCCCTGGTTGTCATGGCCAGGACAGACAGCCTGGTGAAGTGCATCTGTGAACATGCCTGCACAAAAACTGTAGAGTGGGGTCATGGTGTCTGCCCCGAGGAAACACACTAGACCCCCATAAGAACTGGAGAAGACCCCGATGCGTTGGAAGGTCCTGCCAGTTATGTGGGTTAGCTCATGGGGGACCCCATTGTGCCAGGCTGTATAGTCACCGTTGAAGTATTCCACACACCAGGATGCAGGCCCACGGCCCAGCCAGCAGTCCTCCTCACGACCCTTACGGGGGATGCTGGGGTAGGTGAGGCCCAGCTCCCAGTATGTTTTACCACTGACCTGCACCTCCCAGTAGTTGCGTCCCTCTTTGAAGCCCTCTCGGCTTATAACGTTCAGCGTGGTGTCAAAGCGGAAGGGGTTCTCTGGCACTTCCTGCCAGGTGTCTGTGTATGTAGCCGAATCTCCAGCAGGGGAAATGATGAGCTTTGGGTGAGCAGAGTCAGAGTTCAGGACCACCTCTTGGGCATCTAACAGAGGGAGAGACAAGACACCAAAGCAGCCCATCATTACTTTATGACATTTTTAAAATTAAGGCCACTAAATTGTTCTAGGAAAAGCCTTTAACTGGTATAGAATCACTCTAAAAATCTATTTTGGCACCTTAGTTTATGCTTACTTTTATGCTAACAATTGTTACACTGACAATGATAAACAATGAATTGCACCACTATCATTTCTGTCCCTATACCCCAAAAACTCCTCTTTTAGACCCCAGGCAAAACCTTGTCTCTTCATTTAGACAAAGCAGAACTCCTTAACACAATGTACTCCGCTCAGATGAAACAAAAATAGAACTCTTTGGAAACAGGTTGGCTCGTCATGTTCGGAGAAAGAAAGGTTACAAGCTTGATTCGAAGAACACCATACCCACAGTGAAGTACGGAGGTGGGAGCATCATGTTTTGGGGCTGCTTCTCTGCAAACAGCACTGGGGCATTACACATCATCAACAGAAACATAAATTAAGCAATATACCAGGACATAAGAGAAACATGTACAAACATGTACAGCCAAAATAACTCGGGTGGTTTCTAAAAAAAGCAGGTGATTTTGCTTGCCCGGCCTAGCTAATTGCCTGACTTGAATCCCATTAAAAAAGATATGGAAGATATGTTTGCTCTTATATTTATTGGTCAATTACTGCCCTAAAGATATATTTAGTGTAGCATGCTAATATTCATGAAGCATGATTGGCAGGACAGGAGGCTCACAGCTCTGGAAGAGTTTCTTGGTAACAGGGACCTGCGAGCGAATGAACAGCAGTAAATTGATGGTCAAACTGAGCAGCTGCTCATTCTTGAACTCATCCATCTGGATCAGCTCTGGGTCAGTAATCTTCAGAGTCTCCATTATCCTGTCAGACACAGGGAAAAGAAAGTGAAGAAAAAGACATATGGAAAGTTTGTTCTCTTAATCCTGTCTGCAGGATTAACACATTCATATAAGGATCAGACAGAACCTGTCAGCATTGTTATTACTGTTGTTATTTGTGAGTTCAACTTCATTGTTTTTTGTAAATATAAACTCATACTGAAACTGATGCATGCAACACATTCCAGTTGGGACAGGGCCAATGGACTAGGAACATTGTGAAATGAAACACCTTAAACAGGTAAGGCAATTATACTGCAGTATAATTGGAACATCCTGGAAAGGCCTAGCACTTTATGAGCAAGGATGACTCGAGACTCACCACTTTGCCAGAAATAAAATTCCAGTAAATTATTACTATATTGCAAGGATCTCTGTGTGTCACCATGACTTTCAACCCCTTAGATGGCACAGCACTAAAAATTGGTTTGCTTCTGTGATGAAATACTTGGGATATATGAAAATACTTTGAAAAACTGTTGTCAATTAACACTGTTTGTCATTGCATTCACAAATGCACAGATGAAATCATATATCAACACTGTCCAAAAACACTGTTGATTTCTCTGGGCTCAAGCTCACCTGAAATGGACTGATGCGCAGTGAAAACCTGTATTGTGGTCTGACACGTCCAGATCCATGCTTAATTCAACATGAGAACATCAATCCACATTCTGTATGTGTTACAACAGCATTACGGCATAATCAGAGAATGCAGGTGCCAGACTGGCCTGCCTGCAGTCCAAAACCGTGTCTTATTACACTCCAAATGCAACAACAAAGGCCCTGTGTGGTTGTGCAGCTTCACTAACAGAAGAATGGCAAAAGGTCTGCTTTCAAAACTGGATAGTTTGCATCTTTGGTCCCCAAATGATTATGAAGTGCTACTAAATGGAAAAGTAAGATAACATGCTGGTAAACATGCTCCTGTCCCAGTTTTTTGGAACATGTTGCAGGCATCAAATTTTCAAGGAGAAAATATTTTTTAAAAAATAAAGTGGTAAAACATAAAATGTTGTGTTTTTCTAACGTTTTCCATTTAATACAGTTTAAGTTATCAACTCAACACGCACTCAAAAACATTAACCGTATAATGAATTTAAAAATGGTGTGTCAAGTGGTTCCATCTGTGTTAATTAGTTTCTTAGATACTTGACTGAGTAACATGTATAAATTTACTTTGTAAGTCACAAAAATAACTAAAGGAATTGCTAACTAATCGTACTGATCACATCAAGGAGGGCCTGGGTTTGATTCCCCGGCCTTGTGACCACGGTCCTTTGTGTGTGGAGTGTGCATGTTCTTCCCATGTCTGTGTGTGTTTCCTCCCACAGTCCAAAGACATGCAGTTAGGCTGAGAATGTGTGTGTGATGGTATATATCTGTGTGTCTGCCCTGAGATGGACTGGTGACCTGTCCAGAGTGTTTCCTGCCTTCCAATGACCGCTGGGATAGGCTCCAGCACACCCACCCCCCGCGACCCACAAGGATAAGCGGCTTAGTTAATGTGTGTGTACTGATCATATTTATGCATTCAGTAACCATGTATTACACAACTTAATATGATTAGGTTTACCTACTGAAAGTAAAAAAAATGACTAGCCAAAAAGGAGATGCATAAACCAGGGAAGGAAGTCCCACTTGGGGGACAGGTCACCAGTGAGGAAAGAAAACAACTCACAGAGGTTAAGTAATGAGGGGGAAAGACTTGTTCAGCATGCAAACAGATGGTGCCAGAAGCCACGGGGAAAGATGCTGAGTTTTACTCAAGAAGAATGCATCGACCAAACAAACACATCTCAAGTAAAGCTGACAAGTCACTGTATTTCATGGCAACAACACGACTGACTTCACTCAGTTCACTCGGTTGCAGTTTCACTCAGTTACATGCATTTGTTGAGTAACATCAATGAGAGAGAAATTAACAACAGTGCGCTTCATATTTTTTAAAATGTGTACATACCTTCCTTCTGTCTCTGAGATCTGCATGGCAAAAGAAAGAAAGAAAGATAAAAAAGTTAAGAATGATAGTAGTGATGAGCCACTAGAGGAAACCAATGAGTATTTGAAATATATTCAGAAAGTTTCATTGGCAGTACCCTGTCATAGCTGTGTTGTTTGTCCTCTTCCAGCTGAGTAGATATCTCGGCCAGCTGCTGGTCCAGATCCTGGGTCAGGTGGTAGCACCTCTCTATGTTCTCCTCAATGGCTCGTTCCATGGCGTCCTCCTCCATGTCTAACTGGCACAGTGTGATCCGCAGATCCTCGTCCAGCACTCGTTTCATGTCATCGTATTTCTTCTTTATCTTTTCTTTCAGTTCTTCTGTCTTTTTCTGAGAGGAGTGGTATATTAGAAGCATAAAAATCATGGGGCAGAATTATTTGCCCCCATACAAATCATGTAGCATACTTATTCACCCAGCCGTTTCCATGAAACACAAAGGTTACAAGTAATGTCATGACTTACGCTGAAGTCTATTTGCTTCGCTGACAGTTTTTTCATTCGGTAAGCAAGAATGTCCTTTTGCCTTTTCAGGTGCTCCTGTTGTTTTACAGGTGTGTCCTATGTTAAATTGGACAAGAAAAAGAGGGTTTCACTGCAAATTCCTCCTAAAGACACTATGAGAATTTTGACCTGAAATATAGCTAAGTGAGATTTTTTTTACCTGAGCTTGATTCTTCATGCCTGCAGTATCTCCTCAGCTATCTTTAATACCACCAAAGAGGGCCCTGAACCTTCCACTGTTCCACTCCACTGGCAAAAGATTCCTCATCTCAGAGAGCCTCCAGCCTTTATATTTCATTGCTGGGATGCTAAGGCTGGGGGCTGGGATGTGCGGTGTCCATCACAACAAGGCCATTGTCTTTGTGCCCCAGCAAGTATTCAGCTTCTGCTATGGTGGTCTGTAAATCTAAAGGCATAACTCCTCAAGGAAAAGAAACTGTTCTGGGCTGCTGCAGGCTGACTGAACTGTGCCCAAACAAGAGGCCGTCAGCCAAACTAAACTCTATTTATATCTACCACTCATAGAAAAGCTGTTTGAAAATGTGTAGGAATATGCAGGAACAAATGCTTGCCGGTTTAAATCAGGGATCATCAATCATTGATTTGGCAAGTGAGGTTAATGACAATGCAAATACATGTAAATGATTGAACAGTGAAACTTTTGTTGTTTTAGCTTTGTTTCCCATTACATGACATGAAATACTAAAGAATGTTAGCCTTAATTCAAGGGCATCTGCATCTATATTGGGTAAACCATATAGGAATCACAGCCATTTTTATACATAGTCCCCCTCAAAATAGGCCGTGTCCTGACCCTGAAGTCGCTTGTGAATGGCATACACAAATGGTAGGAATGGTGTGTGCGCATGAACAAGTGCATAGAGAATCGCCAAATCACCTACAGCTGCTGCCTGTCTCTCTACTGCTCCACAAAGAGACAGAGTTGAAGGCCAGCCTGACCAGCATTCTGACCAGGACTGGCAAAGACACAAAGAGCAGGCTGGCTGATTGCCCATCTGATGTAGAAGGTTTATGGCCCTTTGACTGACAGTAGACATTTACAAAATGGTTAGAAATTAGGGCAGGGGTTCATTAAAGTAGCTTGGCGAAACATTTTATTTAGAAAATTCAAAATCAAATTGAATTGAGCTTTAAGGCTAAGACACATTGCTCAAACCACAAGTAATCTCAAATAGAATTCTTTATGTGGTTTGTGTGACATATGGTTGTCTAAAAAAATGACAAAGCACAGACAACATTTAGGTTTCTAGACGGTTGCTTTTACTGCTTTGTGGGGGTCCTAGCTATATTCCCAGGGTTTCCTTTTTAACTCTTTGAAATGCTTAGGAAATACCCATGTTTTTCCACTACTCTATGTTCCTGTATTAAAATTTTCTAAAAACAAATCAACTGTGTCTTACCATGGCCCTATGTTGTCTCAATCATGTTTCCACAACATAAAAATAAGATGTTCACACCTCTAATATACTTATAATATTCTGATGTTTTTGTTGAGTAAACAATATCTGAAATGGCCCCACATTATCTTGAGCACAACTTCAAGGAGAAAATCTACCACCTAATTCAGTACTGTTTCTAACATCTCCTCACCAACTTGCCCTCATTAAACCAACAGCAAAAAGTAGGGCATGCATCACACTTAATAACGTATAAATAATTTATACATATGATCTATAATGTATAACAAAGCAAATATAATGTATAATAATGCATATAGACTAGATATATGAACACCATGCTCTAAGTTCACAAAAACCAGTTTGCATTACAAAGTTTCATTTCCTGGGAACATAGAGCCCTGAGAATGTAAGGTTAGGCAAATATACAGTAATGTGCAAAGTCAGAGACCCCTTCATTTATTTAATTACCAGTCAAAACGGCCATCAAATGCAACTTATCAATTCTTTAAGAGATGTTTCTGAAGAGACTAGATATAAAATAATCCACTTGCATAAGGAAGGGCAAAGTTAAAGGAAAACAAGTGAAAAAACATTTATTCATTCATTCATCATCATTAACCACTTAATCCAGATAGGGTCACGGTAAAATGTTTAAAAAATACAGAGAAGAAAATGGGACTCTTAACAACCCTGCAAGGTCTGGTAGACCAGTGAAACTGTTACCATCAGATAAACAGCACTTAAAGCTTTCATCTTTGAGAGATCAAAGCTCAGACAATCAAGCTCAGATCTGAACTCCTGCTTCAGATCTGAAAAAATCCACAGGTTTTTCTGTCCATCCTTCCACTGTGAGAAAACAACTCAGCACTAAGTACTGAAAGGATGTGTAGCTGTCAAGAAGCCTTTACTGAGAAGAGATAATAGATAAAAAGAAGAAAATTTGAAAATCAAACAAAGAAGCTGTTGGTGTTCTTGGAACAATGGACTGACCACCCCAGAGTCCAGACTTTAACATCATTCAATGTGTTTGGGATTATTTGGATCATGAGAAACAGAAAATGCAATTAACTTCTAAGACTGAATGTTGGAGGCGTGGAAAAATATCCCTACAGATTTATTTGAAAAACTGAAAGCAAGTCTCCCCAAAATAATGGAAGCTGTATTAAGTTAAAGGGTGAATATGCTAAATACTGAGAAATCTGATGTTATACTTAGTTGTGTAATTTTCTGTGTTTAGTTTTTTGCATTTTTTTTCCCCGACACTGATAAATAACTTGTACTTAATGGTCGTGCTGCTTGGAAATTAAATACATGAAGAGTGGTCTGTGACTTTTACCCAGGTAGTGACAATTAGAAAGTCTAATTCAGATGACTCAACAACACAGTGTGGTTTTAGGCAACTGTGTGATGATGCTGCACAGTTCTAATTGATATAAACTCATATGGGTGTATTCTGATATTTTAAGCTTTAGCAACCTGATAGGCTTCAATTATGTGTACACAAGTCTCATAGCTCCAGTGCAAAACTAAAGAAGCAAACATATTATTGTTTGTTCTAAGCTGAACAGGTGCTTGGTTACAGGTGATATTTTCCCCACCATTTTTCTCTCCTCTCTAAACCACAGATCTGTTTGAAGTGCCTGTCTGGAATGCATTCAACTGGCATCTAGCCAATCATAGACACAAGGAAGTGAAGTTTGGTAAAATGAGTCACCAAATGGCACCACGTAAGTCTGAAATGTGATAAAGAGATAAACATTAGGGCAGGAAAAAATGTGGCCTGGACTTTAAATTTGCATTACATTTATCATGGTCAAAACACTGTAGGTGATCCTGTGCTACACATATGGAACAGAAGAGAACAGAAGCTGTGTTCTGTCTACCTGTAAAAGTCTCCCCCCAGCAAATCTGATCAAATCACTGGTGATATTTCCCCTTCTATTTTTATTTGTAGTCTGAAGCACAGATCTGTTTGAAGGGCCTGTCTGGAACGCACTGAACTGGCATTTAGCCAATCACAGACGCAAGGAAGTGCAGTTTGGTAAAATTATGTGTCTTGGCCAAGTGGAAAGCTACACTGTAGCTTTCATAAACTATGCTCTTTGTCACTTATTGTTGTCTGTTTAAATGAGTGATGCTATAAAACTGTTTATTTTTTCACCTACAGTATAAACATAAAAAACAGAGAGCAAACTGTTGTACTTTGCTCAATTTATTCAGTCTGTTTTATTGTTGAATGCAGTTAATGCTGAAGTGTGCTCCTCAATCAGCTTACCATCTGATAATAGTGTTTCATGTGGTCAGATGCTCGCACTGACACAGTCAACCAATAACAGCCAACCCTCCTCCACCCTCTGACATCACAGCTCAGGTTTTGACATCTTAGTTTATTTTTCTACTTCCTCATCTGCTTCGTCTCTAGTGCGCACTTTGTCAATGGTGACAACTATCTGCATCAGGTATAGTATAAGGTATTTTTGTCGTGCTAAATTTGAGTATGTATTTTTGCAGAGGAGCAGGATTTCAGTAGTATTGCGGCACCACATGGCACCATATCAGTAATGATTAGCTGTAATGTAAACAGAGAACTGAAGGAGTGGAATGAACCCTCCCGTGTGGTTGATTATAAATATGCATAGATGTAATTGAGCTTTTACACCTCAGTGGCTTTGTCCTTTGGAGACCTTTAATGGCTAATGAAATGTTTGAAGATATAAGATGCAACGTTAGGATTGTTTTTTTGGCTCTTTACGTTTGCAATCACATGTTATTTGTTGTCCAGTTAATGTCCAAAAATTCCAGCACCGATGCTCTGTTTAATTGTCTAGCAATAGTCAGACACTTATTCATCTGGAAACCAACATTGTGGAACTGTGGCTTCAGTTCCACTCTAACTAACTCTGCTATTAATGCTGTTTTCTAGCCATCTGCATAAACGCAATACACAGTGACCCCCAGTTCACGACTTACCAAATGGCATCATGTAAGTTTGAAAAGTGATACAGACATTTTAAGGCTTTAGAGTGGGAAAAAATGGCCTGGACTTTAAGTTTGCATTAACTTCATTATCAAAACACTGTAGGTGGGCTTTGCACATTCTACACATATGGAACAGAAGATAAAGTGCTGTGTTCTGGCTATCTGTACAAGTCTCCCCCTGCAAATCTAATCAAATCGCAGGTAAAGGCATATTGTAAAAAGCATATTACAATGTCCTATTTTTTGTCTAGCTTTATATTCTTCTCTTTTCATCATGATCTGCTCACTCTGCAGAAATCATGGAAGAGGAGGTTTTTTGTTCTGAAGAAGAACAAAACTTCATGCCAGCTCGAGTACTTTAAAAATGAAGAAAAGACAAAGACTGAACTGCTGGGAGCCATAGATCTGTCTCAGTAAGTGCAGCCAATCACATCTGAAAATAGAGAACTGAGCACACGAGTTGATTTTTCTGATTATTGCTGTCTTTTAGAGTCTCGCTGATGTTTCTGCATCCTGAGACACACTCCATGTGGAAATGGGTCCATGAAAACTTCAAATGCTCTGCGACCTGTGTTCTTTTCATGAAAGTGATGGACAGGGACTATTTTTTCATTGGAGAAAACAGGTGTGATACTCAGTATTTTAAATTCTATAAAGTCCTTTTCCTATGAGCTACTTAATTCCATGACTTAAAGTTTAGTCCAAAAACTAAAACTGAGCTTTACCTCCAATGACTGTGAAAAGAAAATAAAGTGTGTTGCTAATATAACTAAAAATTATCTTGTGTCCATATTGTAAATATTTCCTTATTCTTATTTTGACCCAGAGGTCCATTTATGATATTTGTGAAGGTTTATGTGCCAAAAACAGCCCTAATTCATTGTTAAGTGACCATTTTACAACTTTTTTTGTCCTTTAGAATTAAACTTCTTTTAAGAATTACACTCTTAAAAGATAGATGAAAATGGTTCTATATAGAACCAAGAACCCTCTGCATGATTAAAATGCTCTTTGCATAAAACTGCAGAAATGAAAGTGTTCTGCAGATTGGTGGAGAATGTGCTGTAAATGGTTCTATATGGAATCTTTTTGAAAATGGTTCTATATAGCACCCAAAAGGGTTCTTCTATTGTTATGATGTCAAGCTTGTAACAATAGAAGAACCCTTGTGAGTGCTATATAGAACCCTTTTCAAAATGGTTCTATATAGAGCCATCTACAGCACATTCATGCACATTTTCCATCAATGTGAAGAACGCTTTCATGAGGCAAAGAACACTTTAACCATCGAGAGGGTTCTTTCAGTGTCCATGGTCCTAAATAGAGTATATAGGTTCTATAAAGGTTCTATATAAAGTATTTTCTTTACTAAAGAACCCTTGAGGCACCATCTTTTTTAAGAGTGTAGATTAAGGACAGAGCTAAATTTGCAGGGTTTGTTTTCCAGGAGGACAACACCTTCATCACAATTACTGTAAAAGACAATTACTGTCTTTTGGAGAGACTGAACTAAAAAGAAGTTATGAAAATCTACAAAACCCTTGTCTAACTTCTGATAGACATCAGTTGTCCCTAATGGTTGCAGCTTTAGCTGCTGCATTACAGACATAAGTCAAATTGGTAACACTTTATTTTAGGTGGCCATTGTAATACCCATTTTACCCAATTTGCTATCCATTATTACTTCATCAAGCAATAACTAGAGTGAATTAAGAATTTTCCTGAACACTTTTATTAGTGTTATACATCATATTCTTCTGCACAACCCTTATCTGAGCATTAGGTCTACATGGAATGAAAACTTTCTTCTCCTGATTCTTATCAACACTACATTACATATTTCAGTATATCACCAGTTGATTCTGTCAACACTTTAGAAAATTATCCACTAGCTCTAGAAAACGCCCAACTGATCCCTGATTCCAGAGTTCTGTACACTCTTAAAAAGATGGTTTTTCAAGGATTCTTTAGTAAAGAAAATGGTTCTGTATAGCACCATAAACACTCAAAGAACCTTTTGCATGATTAAATGGTTCTTTGCATTGTGAAAATTGCAAAGAACAATTTGAAGGAGAATGTGATACAGATGGCTTTATAGAGAACCATTTTGAAAAGGGTACAATATGCTATACATAAAAGGGTTCTGCTATTGTTACGATACAAGCTTGTATCCTTTTTGATGATGTCTTCATATCAATAAATGATGTGCTTGACATGCAAAATGTTGAATTCACCATGGTTATCTAGTTACCTAGTTCACCTGCTTAATGAAGTAGAGATGATCATCCAGTTAACTGGCAGCTATTGGCTTGATACGGCTTGACAATGTCATCATAATGGACAACTAAAATGAAATGCTACCAAGGACTTTTAAAGTCCTTATCTTGCCTATCTGCAATCTCTCGGTCCAGCTGGGAGATGGAGAGGTGGTTCCGTGCTTTATTTGACGCCCTGAAAAATCGTCCACACAGGCTGCTCGATCCTCAGGTACAGTTTCAATTACACTCTATTGTCCCTACAGTTCAGTAGTATATTTTGCATGTATTGTACAATGTCTTAGCAGTTTATAATGCGCAAAAACTTACTGTCTCTACATGCCTTCCTTCAGGATTCTGGGAGAATCAGAGACATAAGTGAACCTCCACATTCACAGAACACAGATCAGGTGTGTTTACTTTTTACCAAACATAAAAACAAACAAAAAGACTAGACGACTGTACGTAGAATGTGGGAGAATGTAGAAACATTGCATGTCATGATGCTGTTGGACTATGCAGGGAGCTGAGTGGGCACTTGAAGCGTACTCTGCCTCTGAGATCAGCCAAGAGCCTATCTATGCCTCCGCAGTGAAGCGCACTACGTGAGAAGACGAGAAAAAGACGAGGGTATGTAAACAACCACACAAATACCTATTTTTATTTCCCACCATCTAAAAAACATCAGCTGCCATTTCATGATGAATACACCAATAGAAAACAGAAAATGTCCTCAATACATATTCTATTTAGAATATTTTTCCTTTTCTGAAAAAGTTCTTATTTTTGGAAGATACAATGTTTTATTGTGACAGCAATGATATAGTTATTACCTGTTAATACCTCTTAAATGGTCTTGACTTGGTGCTTTTTCCTTTTGTTAACTAGGCTAAAGTGAAAGCAAGATAAAGAAGAATCTCAAGAGATGCAGATGCACAAAACACATATACAGTAGTGTGCAAAAGTCAAAAACACTCTTCGTTGATTTAATTTCCACACTCAGCACAAGGAAAAAAGTAAAAACCTATTTAAGAGAAAATTACACAGGCCTCTCAACGATGAAATGTAATATAAGTTTGTTTTAGTATTTATTGTGTTCACACTGCCTTTATTACAGCTTCCAATCATTTTGCCTTCCATTTTCCAAAGAAATCTGCAGGGCAATTTTTTCACACATTCAAGGTTCATTCTTAAAAGTTGGCTGTATTTTTTTGCTTCTTGAGGTCCAAATAATCTCATCAGTCCAAGAAATTAACTCCACATCTCAGATGTCCAGTTTTGGTGTTCTAATGCAAATTTACTTCCTTTTTGTCAGTTTCCTTTTCTCAGTTACAGCGTTAAACAGCGACACAAGTTACCTTCTCACAGTGGAAGGATGGACAGAAACACCTGTGGATTTTTTCAAATCTGAAGCAAGAGTGGAGCCTGATTTTCTCCTCTCTCTCATAGATGAAAGCTTTAAGTGCTGTTTGTCAGTGTCAGTTTTGGTGGTATAACAGGTCTTGCCTGGTTGTTTTTTCTATATCTTTTAATCAGTTTTTGAACTTAGTTTTGGAAGCTCACATTTTTTCACATATTTTTCTTCAAGTTTCCTCTTCCTTATGCACATGGATTATCTTCCATCTAATCTCCTCAGAAATATTTCCTTTAGCCATTTTAGATGCAAATGAGAAAAAAAATGTGCAAGGCTGTGAAGGTAAAATTGAGTAGTTGCTTGTGTGAATGTTTGTTTCAGTATAATGTCAGTGACTGTGTTTAAAAATTTTGGTTTTTGTTGAAGTATCTAGTATAAATGTGTTTCCTGCTTTTTCTCTGTCAAATTTGACTTTAATGGCCGTTTTGACTAGAAATCAAATAAATGAAAGGGTGGTTTCTGACTTTTGCACAATACAGCATGTATGCTGAAGAGCTGCCTTCAGTGTCGGATTCAGAAAATTACAGTATCTGTATGATTAGAACAACTGTAATATTGATAATATTGTAATATTCATCTACTGTGAACGATCTGTGGATCATGAGCTACATAAATATGTAAATTATAATTCTGTTAGCGTCACTGTCATTGTACAAGTCTATGAGAAACTCATATCTGTATATGATGTACGTATTGACTTATTTATACTGGATGATTTCAGTGTCATGGTAACACATTTTTTGCGGGTCATGTCGATTGAAGAGTTTTTCCAAGCTTTGGAAATTACTCCAAATAATACCAATACTACTAATACTTATAGTGCTAAAGTAATTACAGAAGTCATACTAGATGGTACATAGTGATATGTAATTTACTGTTACATTATAGTAGTAACACTGAGTGGATTTCTTTAAACAATGACAATGTGATTTTATATTTCTGTCACTGTTATACTGATTGGCGGTATTAACCAGCATTAACCAGGTAAGTTTGGCAAAGGACTAGATAATTATGTTGTTATGTTTCAAGACAGTTTAATCCCGTGAAATCCCAGGATTATTACAAACTAAGGCTTATTATTCATGAACTACAGAGACTTCAATGCAAACTGGTTCAGCTATTCTTAGGTTATAGAAGTATGTTATTAACTGGATGAATGTGAGATACAATCTTCAAAATTACACTGAAATTCTTAACAGGTTCCAGCTATCTAAACTGATAAAGAACATAGTAAAATACTGTATAAATATTTGGAGTAACAAGGTAGTAAGTATAAATGTACACTAAATTTCAATACAAGGTCACACATTTAAGCAGGAAAGTAAAAACACCTCCAAGCAGTGGGTAAGTTATGATGTAAAATGACAACACACAGATAGTTTTCTGAAGTTATTGGAAAGGACTCAGTAAAACTATAGCAGGAAGCATTGCTTTCCTGTACAGCCCAGATCCAGTGTTGTTTAGAGGCAATAGATTCTAACACATTACCTAAGGCACTTTGTAATTTATTGTACATAATCGTTTTATGTCACATCACTACCTGGTCCTTTTTAAGCAAAATAATTACACAATACTGTGGAGTTTATACCACATACTTACCCAGTTAATACTTAGAACCTTTTGGGTATTTCAGTGTAGTTTAGGTGGACTGTCTTGGAACTTATCATCAAGTAACCAAAGATAATATCTAGTACTTTGGAGTTTGTACCTCACAACTAAACCTGCTATGGGAGTACCACCTACCTGGAAAATCAATTAGATAAAAAAATGTCTTGAATTCTTAAAGTTTGAATTATAAAACCTTTTTGTAATATGTTCTTCTGTCTTGTCTTGTTCTTGAGTTACACATTTCCGAAATCATTTTCTAAACATGTCATTATTTATTAAGTAGTGTGGTCTGACTGATGGTGCATCGTATGGTTCTGAATGCTAACAATAAATAATGCATCGGTTTGTCTGAAACTGAGGTGCTTTAAATCTATTTCTTGTCTGATGTGATTAAGAAACAAATCAACGTGATACTGTCAGCCTGTTCATTTAAATAAAATGTCAGATTTACACATTGCAGCCTACTGTTTATGGTGTAAAAATGGTTCACTTTTCCTGATGCCAATGGATGTTTCATAAGGAAGTGTCCCGCTTTCATAATTAAGTAGCTCAGCACTGTTTTGGCTGTAACCTAGTTTTGTATGCTTGTTTTATGTAATTACTAATAGTTATGTATTACTAAATAAATATTGTATCTGCCTAAAAAAACAAAAGATGTATCTCCATTTGTGTCAATTGTTATTTTTCTATAGCCTTTGATCATGGCAGCTGCTCTATACATTGTGTAAAACTTGCATGATAAATGGACCAAAAGAAATGCTTTAAAATCACTTGGAATAAAACTTTTTCATGTTAAATTAAAGGTTAAGACTATTTCTGCTGGTTCCTTCTCCTGTAAAGTTACGAGTTTGGAGATCCCACAGCAAAATCAGCAAACACAAAACAAATCTATTAGAGTTAACTTCAACACTTTAAATGCATCTACACACTTAAAAAAGATGGTTCTTTAAGGGTTATTAGGTAAAGGCAATGGTTCTATTTAGAACCATGAGTTCTATGTGGAACTATTTCATTTCTTAAAAGGGTTCTTCTATTGTTACAAACCTGACATTGTAACAGCAGAAGAACCTTTTTTTCCCCATATAGAACCATTTTCAAAAAAGTTCTATATAGACCATAGAACTACATACAACTATATACAACACAGACTATATTCAAGACAATGTACAACACATTCACTATCAATCTGAAAAAAACATTTCACCATTCAAAGAACCAGTTATGCATGAATTGGTTCTATATAGAGCTCATGGTTCTAAATAGAACCATTGCTTTTACTAAAGAACCATCTTTTTTAAGTGTGCACATAGGTCCACTCCCCAGAGTACTTTTACCACTTTGTAAAGTACTTCAGCTAGAGTTTATTTTGACTCTTTGAAGAGTGAAAATTCAATACATACTTGTGTGCAGCGTTACAAATGGACATTTATTTAGTGTCATTTTTAACTCTATAGCAGCTACCTCCATATATTTATTTTGTGGGATATCTAGTGTATTAATTCTAAAATCACTTTAACTAGAGAAAGAAAAATGACATTATAATTGCTCTTACATTGTTTTTTATTTTTCAAATGTGCACTACTTTCAATATAACATTCAAAATGCATCCAATAGTCTGTTTTCAAATTAGAACTATATAGGATTATGTGTGCTCTATCATCACTCTCATTCGGTGATACAGAAGCTTGTCTATGGAGATTACAGAAAAGGCTTAATTTCTCTATTCAATACAGCATGCAGTAAAATGATTATCAAGTTCACTGTGTTCACAATATAGACTATTATAAAAAAATATGCCTTACATATGAAACTACAAATCATTGAACACAGGGATATCACATCTTAGTAACCTGCTTAATCAACAAAGTTCCTGTTGATCTACTTTCTGATCCAGACAAAAACCGCAACACTCGAAAATTCGGCTATTGTTATGGTATTTACCAACCTTCCACGTTAGAGCGTTTGTGAAAAAGACAGTAATATTGGTTTGGGGCACTTTACAAGCACAGCATTTGAATATTTAATATATAAATAAGTAAATTTCAGTTCAGGTGTTGGTGCTTTGCACAAATGTGTAGAATTTGCAAAGAGCTTCATCAAAGGAAAGACTGAAGACAGTGAGCTTTGAATAGCTCATCAGAAGCTACCACTGATGTTTGAGCCTCAAAGACTGTAGTCAGTTTGTTTTTCTGCATACTTTCACCCTGTTCTTCAATGGTCAGGACCCCCACAGGACCACCACAGAGCAGGTATTATTTGGGTGGTAGATCATTCTAAGCATTGCAGTGGCACTAGCGTTTGTGTTGGTCATCCTCTAGTCCTTAATCAGTGGTCACAGGACACTGGTTGGCTTGATAGTTTTGGTTAGTGGGCTATTCTCAGTCCAGCACTGTGTTTAAAACTCCAGCAGTACTGCTGTGTCTGATCCAGCACAACCCCCACCACGTCAGTGTCACTGCAGTGCTGAGAATGATCCACCGCCCAAATAATACCTGTTCTGTGCTGGTCCTGTGAGGGTCCTGACCACTGAAGAATGGGGTAAAAGGGGGATAAAGTATGCAGAGAAACAAACAGTCTGTAATTGTAGAACAATAAAATGTACCTATATGGTAAGTGGAGCTGATAAAATGGACAATGTGAGCAGATACAAGGATGTTATGGCTGATCTATGTATATTTACTTACTCACACGCTGCAGGAACTGGAGGAATGAAAAGTCTCACAGCCATTGATTTAGTGAGGTGCGAAGGGTGGGGTCATTTATTTAACACTCTCAGAGTAAATATGAAGACATCAGGTTTAACACTCTGTTTTGACACCATCTCTTTTTTGTCCTGGGAGTGAAACCAAAAAGTTGAGACTCAGTTGAGAGTTGGATTAACTCTGAATATAGTCAGATTGGCTCGCTACCCACCGATGCTTCATCAACACCAGAAACGTAGCTCAATTTTCTTGGCTGTTTTGTCTTTCTTGGACAGTGACAATCAGTTATATTGAAAAACTGCACAGTTGTATCACAACCAAGACAATCTGAAATGTCCAGTTGCCAATTCCTCAATGATCAGTATTAAAAAAGGGAAAAGGTAGATGAGACAGGTGGGTAAGTAAAAAGGGATACAAAAAGGAAAATCTTTAAGTGACTTCAAAGTAGTTTCCAAAATCCCCCCAGAAGTCCCCACTGCTTGCGCCAGATTAAGTATTAAGAACGGCTGGTACTGGCACTGCCACTCCTTCTCATTCTCTATTACTGGCAGGAGGAAGAAAAACTTACATAACTTCATTTTTTTTTAGTTACACAACTTCATTTGTGTCATTTGAGACCTTTATAAAATACAATACAGGTCTGGAACAGAGACAATGTATCCATGTGCACAAACTCAGTCTAATGAGGGCCAAGTTTAAAAAGAAAAAAGCAACAGTGAACACTGAGCGCAGATTTTCATGGAGTGAGACCGATTTCATTCACCGCTATAGTTAAATGAGAAAGTCAATAATATTCAGCTAATTATGGCTTGGAATGGTGCATTGGTTTAGAATAGAAAAAAGTGGCTCTAGTGCGCTAGACATTGAAATATGCATGTACAAAAATGAACATATTATACCTCCTATAGAGTCTATTTCTCTTTATTCTTTTCTTACATATACCCTGGGCACTTTTAACCAAAGAAAAAAAATCTGGCTATCGTCTAAGGGATGGACTTCTTGTCAGAACTCATTCCAAATCACCTGAAACCCTGCCTCCTGTTGTCACAAACTCTGACAAAAACCCCAGGACCTGGGCTCATGTTCCCCATCCTGATGAAAGCGTTGTGAGTGGCACAGAGGATCTGCACAAATCTGCTTCAGGTAAACACTGAATGCTATACTGTAAACCAAATATAAATGTGATTTATTTGCACTGGGCAATATATTATGTGGTACTACTACTTTTTTCATATTTCATCAGCTGTTTTTGAACCATGTAGTGCTTCTTCATTCTTCAGGTTTGGAAAGGGTGGCTGCACATACCATAAGATATTCTTGCAGTTGTTCAATCATACATTAACTACAGGCGAAGAGCTTGTTTTATTTGTTAAGATCATGAAGGCAAAGTGCTTTGTATATGTTGAAAAAAAAATCATGATTCCGTTGTGTTAAGTGGTTGCACACAAAGAAAATATGGTACTTCAACAAAATTGCTTCCTTTAAGTTTACTTGGTTTGGCACTTATTGTGTTTGTGCACTACATTTTATTAACGTGCAACCAATGAACACATTTTAATCAGGTCAGTTCAAAGCACCATTTTATTCGAAGTACTCACAACTGTGGTAACATATGCCAGTGCAACAAGCAACATATGCCAATGCAAACGCTCATGAGGGTCATGCCTTAGGGCTAAGTAAAGCTGAGTTAACCCCTTAAATTCCCAGGCTTATTACATACTGAGAAAACAATGCAATATGGCTGAATGAATCTTATTTTATAGGAGTGAGAAACAGAAGTCTTTATCTGCTGACAGGTCCTGACCGCTTAAAGTTTCAACATGATCATTTACGCTTTTACATTAACCCCTTAAATGGCCAGGACTGGTTGGCAGGTCCAGGCTTGCATTCTTCACTCCAATATAACTCAGTTCATAAGTCAGTTTGCATTGTTTTCAATGTAGTTACTGCATAACCAGTCTTAGGATGTGATCAACTTATTTAAGGGGTTAATTACATTTCCTACAAAACTTAAATAACAGAGAATGACACAGTAGTCTTTGATGCAGTTCTTTTACAGTTTTTGCCAGGTCGGGTGGTTGTACATCTTTTGGCTGATTCTGTAATGAAATAACAACACTGTCTGTTTCAGAACAGTATCCAATGTCGAGCAATCTGCGAAAGATTTCAGGTACGCCTGCCAACTTTGAGAACAATAAAAATGTATGACAATAAATTGGCATCGTATAAAAAATAAATTTCATGCAAAAGAAATTGGTGCCAGACAAATTGCTTTGGGATTTATATTCTAGACTGAATTACACTTGAATGAATGTCAGATGACTGCAGCCTTTGGTAAAACATTTGAGCATGATCCTGTTTTTTTCCCCCTCTAGAGAGTCATAATTCTCTGTTTTATGACATACCAGCTTCTAACACGGAGGAGGTGCTGTCAGGCTACCTCTACAAATCACCACCTCCATCTGTCCTTACTAAATCTATGGTAAGCCTCAAATAAAGGTAAGGTTAAATACAGACTTTGTGGAAAGATTTCTGCGACATTTTTTCTATGTGATTCTCTCTGCAGAAATCATGGAAGCACAGGTTCTTTGTGCTCAACAAGACAGATGGACACCTCCATGAACTGAAGTACTTTAAGGATGCAAATAAGAGAGACAAATCTACTGGAAAAATCGACCTGTATCAGTACGTTCATAGTCACCATACACACAGAACACATCATAAAGCTTTTGCACCGTTCTGTCATCATGTTTTTATAATGAAAAACAAAAAATGAAAATTATTATTATTAAATTATCATTATTAATCAAAGAAACTGCTCATATTATGATGTATTTGATTTACATAATTCATGGTTACTACACTCCCATGCAAAAAAAGGGACAGGCCCAAAATGGCAAAACATTAAGCTTTTAATGGTCTTAACA